CCCAGATAACACAGCCCCAGCCTCAGGTTACAGAGCCTCTGAGAACACAAATACATCAAAACCACCTCAAAAAATAGCAGCCGTCCCAGGCACTTGGAAAAATGCACAGGTCTCTGTCACAAGGCCGCAAGAAGCCCCTGGGGGTTCCTTATTTTCTGGTGCCATCAAGTGGTAGGTTTGCTCCTTTTTTTTTTTTTTTAATAGATGTTGCTTGGCAGGCTGTGTGGCCATCTATGCTCAGATGAGTTTGTGTCATGAAACACTCTATTTGGGAACTGGAGACATGGCTCAGGCAGTAGAGTGCTTCCCATGTAAGGAGGAGGACCTGAGTTTAGAACCCAGTTACCCCGGTTAGTAGTCTATAATCCCAGCACTGGGGAAGTAGAAACAAGAGATCCCTGAGGCTGGACAAGAAGTGGAGATGAGGGTGCAGAAAAACAAAATGGTTATCCACCCAAACTAGAAGCAATCAATAACATTTCCACTCTAGGCAAGAGCAGAAGAATATACTTGTTGTCGTTAAACTATGGGGTGAGTCCTGAACTCTTGAGCAAGTTATAGCTGCTCTTCTTAAGTAGAATTGGGACTAGAGGTTGGTTCAGTGGGTAGCATGCTTGCTTAGCAGACCTGAAGGCCTGGGCTCCATCCACCCCTAGCACTGACTGCATAAAACTGAGCACGGCCATGCATGTCTGTAACCCCAGTACTCAGGAGGAGCGGTCAGGAGGATGAGAAGTTCATGTGATCCTTGCCTGCACAGTGAGTCTGAGGCCACCTGGGCTACATAAGGCTCTATCTCAGAACATAAAACAACAAAACAAATAGTGGAATTTTCACACTTGTGTTGTCCGTGCCTATAACCCAGAGTCTGCAACAGAAGAATTGCTGTTAGTTCAAGTCCATTCTGGACTACACAGTGAGCCACAGGCCAGCCTGGGCTCCAGAATAAGACCCTGTTGTTGTGGGGTATTCGCCAGAGAGGACTGTTTGAGTCGATAGAAAATCCTTACTAGCTGGTGGGGGACTATACTGGATATTCAATGTAGCCATAAACCTTTCTCAAGATAAGATTTTAATAGCGGACAATGAGGACTACTGAGAACTCAAGAACAATGGCAATGGGTTCTTTGATCCTACTGCACGTACTGGCTTTGTGGGAGCCTAGGCAGTTTGGATGCTCGCCTTACTAGACCTGGATGGAGGTGGGTGGTCCTTGAACCTCCCACAGGGCAGGGAACCCTGATTGCTCTTTGAGCTGATGATGGAGAGGGACTTGATTGGGGGAGGGGGAGGGAAATGGGAGGCGGCGGTGGGGAAGAGACAGAAATCTTTAATAAATAAATAAATAAATAAATAAAATAAAAAAAAGATGAGATTTTTAAGCTCAGAGACCATGTCCTGGGTTGACATGTTTTAGTTAACAAGAACAGTTAGCCAGAAGCAGAACTACAGAAGGCAAAAAGCAAGTTTAGTGCTTTCAGAGACCTTCCCAGAACTGTGGACTTCTATGGCCTTTGTTTTAGTTTTGGCAGGTGGTGCCGTCTACGTGCTACAGCCTGAATAGTACTTCCATCATGGAGTCTGTTGTGCTAAGGAATGGAGGTGTACTAAGTTCTGGAGATCTGTTACACCTCAATAATGATGATGATAGAATTGGAGGGTGACAAGGGATAGGGTATGACTGCATTGTGAGATTTTTAGCTCTTGTTACAGCTTGGATATGTGATGGCCCCTGAGGCTCACACATTGAAGGCTCATTTCCCAGCTGATGGAACTGCTGGAAGATGGTGGGAACTTTAAGAGTGAGGCTCAGAGGACAAAGGTCCCCAGGGGTGTGCTCTTAAAAGGTATGTATCACTGGTCCCCTCGCCCCACTGTCCTGCTTCTTGGATGGGCATGTTTGCTCCCTGCCATGGTGATCTGGCTTGTGCTGAGTCCCAAAACATTATAGACAAGTGACCATAGGCTGAAACCTCTGAAACCATGAGCCAAAGGAACCTTCCCTCCTACAATTGTATTGTCTTGGTTATTCTGCAGTGGAACACTGCAGAAAACATTGCCACTGAGAGGGGTCATCGCCAAGACTTTTCTCATTGCTGTGTGTGGTGCAAGTCTTTGAAACTGGTGAGGGGTGGACATTTAGGAAGACTTGGAGATGCAAGGTAGAGAAAGCCTAGAATCCTGCTAGTGGAACTTAATAGGGGTGTGAGTTTGAAAGATCCGAATTCTGAAAGGAATATACACAGCAGACCATGCTCACAAGGGTGAGATGGGAATGGACTCTTTTGAGAGCCAGGCTGGAGATCATCTGTGTTACATTTGGGCCAGCACCTTGTCTACTTTTTGTCCATGTCCTTGGACTCAATGAGGCTGAATTTAAAGATGATAAATTAGGCTGGGTGGTGGTGGTACACGCTTTCAATCTCAGCACTCTGGAGGCAGAGGCAGGCAGATCTCCAATGTGGGATTCCTCTCTGTATGCTGTGAATATGTTTTATTATCATTGGTTAATAAAGAAGCTGCTTTGGCCTGTGGCAGGACAGAATAGAGCTAGGTGGAGAAAATTGAACTGAATGCTGGGAGAAAGAAGGCAGAGTCAGTGAAAAGCCATGTAGTTGCTGCAGGAGACAGACGCTGGGTGCCAGACAAAATCTTACCAGGAGACCACAACCATGTGGCAATACACAGATTAATAGAAATGGGTTCATTTAAGATATAAAAGCTAGCTAGGAATATGTATAAGCTAATAGGCCAAGCAATGTTTTAATTAATATAGTTTCAGCGTGATTATTTCAGGTCTGGGCAGCTGGGAAACAAACAAGATCTCTGTGAGTTGGAGACCAGCCTGATCTACAGAATGAGTTCCAGGACAAGCTTCAAAGCTACACAGAGAAACCCTGTCTAAAAATAAATAAATAAATAAATAAATAAATAAATAAGAAAGAAGAGAAAAGATGACAAATTAGTTTATTTGGCAAAGAGAATTTTAAGGAAGCACAAATGGTGATATAGATATTTCTGATTGCTTTTAGCCAAATTTATAGTAAGAATAATGGGCAAAGGCATGATGGGGAGATTAGAAAAACTTGACCTTTGGTTCAAAAGAATCTCATATAAAAGTGGGGGCCAGGTCAGCAAGATGACTCCAGTAGAGTAAAATAGTGTCTGAGCAAGCCTGGACCTTTTTGCAAGCTCCAGAACTCACGGTGACCAGAGAGAACCAACTCCTGGAAGTTGTTCTCTGTCCACACACATACACACATGTCCAGACTCACTCATACACTTCACACACACATAAGAACACATAAATGCATATACAGATAATGAGAATTACTGTTATTATAATTACTATTCTTCTCATTATCACATTTTAAAGAGAAGCCTGAAGTGCCAGGAGCTGCAAGTGGTGACCTCTGATCCACAGTCAAGGCTTGCGCACAGTCCACTTTCTTTCTGTCTGCTGACCAACTGCAGTACTTTCTGTGGGGCCTGTGGCTGGTCCCTTCCTTACCTGCTTCTGGGAACTGTGAAGTAAGTGTCTTCCCTCATTCCCATGTCTCTGTATCTTGCAGAGCTCATGAAGCTAGCTAGTCCTGGGGTCTGGGTATAATGGATTAATTCCAGGGCTGGGAGGCTGAGGCAGGATTCCAACTTCAAAAAAATATCTCAAAGCAAAAGAGCAACCACAAGAGTAGAATCTGGGGGGCTGGAGAGATGGCTCAGTGGTTAAAAGCATTGCCTGCTCTTCCAAAGGCCCTGAGTTCAATTCCCGGCAACCACGTGGTGGCTCACAACCATCTGGAATGAGGTCTGGTGCCCTCTTCTGGCCTGCAGACATACACATAGACAGAATATTGTATACATAATAAATAAATAAATATTTTAAAAAAAAGAGTAGAATCTGGGCATGGTGACAAACATTTGTGATCCTAATACCTAAGAGGTGGCGACAGGAGAATTAGGAATTCGAGGTGAACTTGTCCATGAGCCCACAAACTCCGAGAGCACTGGAACAAGGTCCCATCAGCTTTGCCATGTTGTATTAACTAGAATGGAGTCAGTTTCCCCCCACTTAAGGAGGGGGGAGCACAAAGGCTGTGACTCACATGGAGGGTGGATTCTTCCACAAATACCATCGACTTTTTAAAAGAATCCTCAAGTCGGACAGGCAAGATGACAGCGAAGAGACACTTGCCACCAAGCCTGACAACCTGAGTTTGATCCCCAGGACCCACACGGTAGAAAAGAACAACTCCTAAAAGCTGTTCCGTGAGTCCACATGTATGCCATGACACACGTGTGTGCACACACTAGCTGCTAGAGCTAGCTAGCACCGCTATCTTTCCTCAAAGCCTCTTTCCATCCTCCTCCTTAATGTCTCAGGAAACTGGGACGCCGCTACAGCCCCAAGAAAGGACACACGGTCTGGGACAGGGCCAGCAACTCCGCGTTCCGCTCCCCAGCCAGCATAACCCTGGCAACAGCATTTTTTATTCTACGGCCCACTTCCCCACTTGTAGCCCTGATCATCACGTCTTCTGGCCATTGTCTGTAACAGAGAGGTGGGAAGGGTCATTATCTGAGCGGGAATAAACCGAGAAAGCCCACGGTACCTGACCCGGCTGGTGGGCTGAGAGCTGGTTCCTGTGGGTTTGCCTTCCCCACTGTGTGGAGAACAGAGATACAGGAAGCGGAAGTGAAAGGGATGGTAGGCTCTACAACCAGAGCGCTGGGGCGTGCTTCCAGCTCACTAACAACCTGTAAGTGATGGACTGTCAGACTCCTACTGGGACAAATCGGGATAGTTCCCCATTAGCCAGGACCTGATTCAAATTACCAAGAGTGTCCAGTGATCATTGGTTTGACTGACAGGTCTCAGAGGAACACTGGCCCCGCCCTCTGCCCTCGGGGCTTGCCAACAGGAATCTAAATTTCACTGGCCAGATATGAGTCCAAAATAAGACCCTGAGAACAGACTGGTGCCAGACTGGTGTGGGCTCTTTCAGCCTTCCAGAACCTTCTTGTCTGCTGGACAGAGCCTGTGAACCAGCAGAAATATCAAGCCCTAAGGGAAGAGCGAAAGATCACCACAGTGGCTTCCCACCAGCTGACCGTGAGTGCTCCCTCTTGTCCCTTCCAGAAAGATCTCTGTGACGGAGTAAACAGGGAGCCTTCCTCTTCCCCAGGCCTCTGCAAAGAGGGTCACGGTGGGAAGAGAGAGAGTTCAGAGAAGCTCCCAAGGGCCACCTTGGAGCTGGATGTCCTTTGAAAGCGGGGTCTTCTGGTTCGCCTGAACCCACAGAGGCTCCCCTAAGAGCACTGTGAAAAGTTAAAAAGCCACCTAATGATCGTGTCCCGTGTATGCGTGGGCGTGCTCACAGGTGCATGCACAGCATGCAGGGTGCTGGGTCTACACGCCCACTGAGTGACACTTGGCTTGGAACTCTGAAACGGTCCCAGAAATAAAATGCAGCTCTGTTCTATTTTGTGGTCTCTTACCAGGATATTGTCATACAGATATGAGCACACTGAACTCCCGCAGAGCGTGTTTGAGTGACTGGATCTGAGGGCCAGGATGAGAGGCTGAGAGAAATCATTAGAAAAGACCAACATAATGTGTTCTGGACGCCTGGCTATAGATCCAGACTAGGGTGAGGGAAGCTCTGCCCACTCTGAAGAGGAGCTCAGCTTCTCCTTGGAATGCCCTTCCCTGCTGTGCCTTCCCTGCAGTGAGAACTCCCAGGGCTAGCTACTAGGGTGTTGACTGAGGTAGACACGTCCGTGTCCAGACAGGAGGTCGGAGAGCGCCTGTCAACAGGAAATGATATTGGTAGCAGGTTGGGAAACTGAGGTAGGGTCACATATTAAATGACGATGGCCTCCAACCTCACTGGGTTCCTTAGCAATCATATGGAATCAGCCAATCAGAATACTTAGTATAATTGTACTTATTTGTTCTGCTCTCAAGTCTACCTTCTCTGTCTCTCTGTCTCTTTTGCCAAGAGCCATGAGATTAGAATTCCAGCATTCTCTCTCTCTTTGGTCTTTTGGTTTTCTGAGACAGAGTTTCTCTGTGTAGCCTTTGCTGTCCTGGAACTCACTCTGTAGACCAGGCTAGACTTGAACTCACATAGATCCATGCGCCTCTACTTCTCCAGTGCTGGAATTTAAGGCCTGTGCCACCACCACCTGGCTCTACTTTTTCTCTTAAATTATGCTTTGTTCCCGTGACCAGAATATTAAGATGTACAACTGAAATAAGTTCCTTTTTGTGTACTGCTACGCTCGGATCCAGGCAGAGTGGCCAGTTTGGCCAAGGCTACATAGTCAGACCCATTCCCTTATTTGTCCAGACGTCTATGGTGGCGTAGCCAGGAGCGCGAGCTCATTTAACTGCTGCTCCGCACTTAGCGCTGGGCTCCAGGCAGGCTGCTGCCAGTGGCTTCCCCAGTGGTTCCTGTCTATGATGAAGACACCCTGTGGGATCTTCCTACCCCTCCACCCCCCTGATTCTGCTCTTACCCTAGGCCCTCAGACAGGTTGTGACAGGGGATTTAGTGAAGAGGAAGAGAAGGGAGGAGTGGGGTTTGAGTGGGAAGGGTCTGTACTCAGCTGTGTTGGGACCAGCCCTTGAGAAGCCACAGTGGCCTATTGGAGATATTCTCCTGGAGAAGACCAATAGGAGCCACAGAAAAGATCAGTGCTCGTTTATGGACCAGCAAGGACCCCAGTTTGCACAAGTAGAGAATGCAAGCCAAGCATGCAGAACACTAGAACATTCTGCCCAAGAAGAAACAAAATATTGAGAACTGGACCCCACTTGCTAAGCCCTAAGTCGTCCAGTTAAAACTTTCAGGTGTCTTCCCTGCCCCCACCATCAGGGTAGTGAATTTTGTTTTATTTGAGAAAAATGATCAATACAGCAAAAAGCTTCACTGTTCAAGTTCTCGCTTATGCCGCTTCAAAAAAAAAAAAGTCTTTAAAAAATAATTCTATTCTTGTTTGAGAATTTTGCATGCATACAGTGTAATTTTATCATGTTTACCCCCACCTCTCCCCTAACTCCTCTCAGGTATACTCCCCCCACCCTCTCCCAACTTTGTGTCCTTTGTTTTAATGACACACAGAGTCCAGTTTGAGCTGTCCATATGGGTGTGAGGCCACCCACTGGAGCATAGCTGACCTAGCAGGTCACAACCTTAAAGAAAGATGCCCCCCCCTCCTCCAGCAAAGGGTGGTGGTTTGTGAGCCCCTCCCCACTCTATTCTAGAACATTGACTGGTTTGATACTGCACACAGCTGCTCCGTCTCTTTTAGCCTCGCCCAGCCTCTAACTCCCTAGACACCCGAGTATGACACTGACTTCTGATATCCCTGCCCCCCGCCCCCCCCCCCGCCTCCTGAGTACTGAGATTACAGGTATAAAACACAATACCCAGCTTATGTGGTGCAGGAGCTCGAACCCAGGGCATCGTGAGAGATAAGCAAGCACTCTACCAACTGAGCCACAGCCTTAGTCCTGGAGACGGCCAGTCCGGTGACCTGCATGTCTGCACTCTGTGCCAAGCACCGAGAATAAAGTACTCTAAAGAGTGACGTCTAGAGCTGCGGAGATGGCTCTGTCTATAAAGCACTTGCCTGCAAATGTGAGGACCAGCGTTCGGGGTCCCAGACGCCATTTAAAATCTGGGAGAGTGCGGTGGCTGCCTAAAATCTCAGTGCTGGTGAGGCAAAGACAGGATCCCAGGTGCAGCTGGCTGGATTGTGGAGGTCCAGGTTCAGTGAGACCCTGTGACCTTGTTTGTTTTCAATTGTTGTGGTAGTGACCATAACCAAAAGCAACAATGATATGGGATTCCCTCTGTATGCTGTGAATATGTTTTATTACTATTGGTTAATAAAGAAGCTGTTCCAGCCTATGGAAGGGCAGGATAAAACTAGGCAGAAAAACCAAACAGATATATAGAGAGAGTAGAGAGGATCACAGAGACAACTCTGTGGCTGCCAAAGGAGAAAGATGCCAGCCAGAACCTTACCTGGTAAGCCACAGCCTTGTGGTGATACACAGATTAATAGAAATGGGTTAATTCAAGATGTAAGAGCTAGCTAGAAATATGCCTGAGTCATTGGCCAAATAGTGTTGTAATTAATACAGTTTCTATGTGATTTTTCGGGTCTGGGTGGCCAGGGAATGAACGAGCAGTCTCCTCTACACAACATGGGAAGGAAAGGGTTTGTTTCCTCTTACAGGGTACAGTCCTACAGGGCAGGAACTCAAGGCAGGAATCCGGAGTTGGGAACTGAAGTAGAGGCTATGGAGGAACGCTGCCTTCTACTTCCCAGGACCACCTGCTCAGGAATTTCACCACCCACCGTGGGATGGTCCTTCCCATGTCAGTCATCCATCAAGAAAACATCTTACAGACTTGCCTACAGGCAACTGAGCTTCCCTCTTCTTGGATGACTCCAGTTTGTGTCAAGTTGACAAAACCCTGTCATCAGCATGCTCTCCCTCAGTAGATAAACTAGAGAGCTACGGGGAAGACACTGATGTCAACCTCTTCCCCCCCCCCCACACACACACACAAGCCAAAGGGACAAAAACCAGGAGGAGGACATCAGTTGATTTTCTCAGTAACAATGGAAAATGCTCCTCTTACCATCTCCATGTTCCTGACAGGGAGACGGGTTTATAGAATAAAACCCACCCGAGATCAGACAATCCCATCCTGGAGGTGGAATCCAGTCCCAAATCTGAGCCCAAAGCCAGTGTTCATGTCTGTTATGCTTTTCCGACTCAAAGTCTCTCAGTTCCTCTTGAGCAAGTGTTGAAGCCACCCATCCCAAGGAAGAAATTAGAGATCTGACTCCCGGCACTCAGAGTCCACGCCCACAGCTCTGTCCACTCTTCAGACACTGACCACAAGTCACTTTACCTGTGCTTCTGACCCGTGAGCCTAAGTCAGGGTTTCCGTGGGTTCAATTCATTGCCCTAACAGACTGTAGAACTCAGCGGGAACTGTAGCAGTGAATTGCAAAGGTTGTCACGATGGCTATAGATGGACAGGTATGAAATGAGAGGGACGGTGGAGGGACACAGCTTCCTTGCCCTCTCTGCCCCCACCTCAGAAATCTCCACATCTGTTTCCTAGACGCTCTCAGAACCCTGTTTTTGGGGGAGGGGCTATGGAGACTCTAAGACAGACATGATCATTGTCCACTGGTGCTCAGCTCAATATCCAGCAGGCCCTCTCCTTCCCTGCAGGCTGAACACTGGACCTTCCAGGAACCAACTCCATCCTGCAGCTCTCTAGGGGGCAGTCAGCCATCAGTCACTGTGTACAAAGAAACACTACTGTGGAGATCCCACGCATGTTTAAGAGTTGGGGAGCAGGGAAAGAATGGAATCCCAACAGAAAATCCACAATGGCAAAACCAGTTATCACTCGGTTAAGTCATAATCTGCTGACTGCTTTGGGAAATCCTGCTGAGTCTCCAGAAATATGCATTCTGAGTTGCTAGGGGAGACTGAAAAAGCATCTTTTGAAACAGTGTCTAGCTGGGTAGTGGTGGCACACATCTTTAATCCCAGCACTCGAGAGGCAGAGGCAGGTAATCTCTGTGACTTTGAGGCCAGGATGAGCTACAAAGCAAGTTCTAGGACAGCCAGAACTGTTACACAGAGAAGCCTTGACTCAAAAAACTATGATAGATGATAGATAAGGGAAGAGAGAGAGAGAGAGAGAGAGAGAGAGAGAGAGAGAGAGAGAGAGATGTAGAGATAGATAGATGTAGAGATAGATAGATAGATAGATAGATAGATAGATAGATAGATAGATAGAGATAGATAGATAGATAGATAGATAGATAGATAGATAGATAGATAGATAGAACAGTGTCTGTCTGTAAAGAAGAGACTGCTATCCTTTATGGCTGAGTCTATAAAGAGCAACCCAGGATATCCTCCCTATGCCAGTGCTTCCTGAATTGCTCCCATGCTTCAGCTGGTGGTGGTGAGGGCATCCTTTGAGCAACAAGGAGCACTGAGAAAGGAAGAGGTAGGAATTAAGCAGCCACAGCACCTAACAGCACTTGGGGACCCAGGCTGTCCCGGGGTTGGAGATAACAGTCCTGCATGACTGTCCACTTTGATAGCTTCTTCCTCTGTGGGCCCCAGCACGACAGAAACTCCTCCTCAGTCCAGCCCCTCCCACCTTTCCCAGTCATGACAAGGTTGTCTCCTCCTCAAATCCAAGGGAATGACATCTACTGTCCAAGAGAGAAGCATACTACTGTCCGTTAGCTGTGTTTACCAGTGAATTGGTAGAGAGTGTGGCTACAAACTGCAGACCGAGACATGGGAACAGGGGACTAGCTAGAGAGAGATGTGGCAGGAAAGATCAACAAAACTCTATCCGCACGGTACTTGTGCTCGCTGTGTGTGTCTCTCTGTCTCTTTCTCTCTCATTCGCTCTCTGTCTCTTGTCTCTCTCTTTTCCACTTCCTGTGTGTATGCCAGGGTGTGTGGTGGTGTGCATGTGTGTGTGAGTTTTTGCCTGTGCAGGCACCTATGTGTGACAGAGGAGGATATTAGGTGTCTCTCTCAGTCACTTCTCCATCTTGTTTTTAAAGACAGGGTTTCTCAGTGATTGCAGCCTGACCGGCAGGCCACTAAGTCCCCAGAATCTGTCTATCCCCACCACCGGGTGCTGGGGTTATAAATAGATGCTGTCATACCCAGATTTTTTTGAAGGGGGATTATTGAGACAGTCTTTCTCTGTGTAACAGCCCTAGCTGTCCTGAACTCGCTCTGTAGACCAGGCTGGCCTCGATCTCGTGGAGATCCGCCTGCCTTGGCCTCCCAAGTACTGGGATTTAAAGGCGTGCACCACCACCACCGCCCAGCACAAGGCCCAGATTTTTGTGTGAATGCTGAGAGTCTACACTCGGGTCCTCATGCTTGCACAGACACTTTTCTGGGCAATCTCTCCAGCCATGGTTTCTTCGTCATTGGTGTATTTCATGGTTTTTTTTTTTTTTGTTTTTTTTTTTTTTTGGTTTTTCGAGACAGGGTTTCTCTGTGGCTTTGGAGCCTGTCCTGGAACTAGCTCTGTAGACCAGGCTGGTCTCGAACTCACAGAGATCCGCCTGCCTCTGCCTCCCGAGTGCTGGGATTAAAGGCGTGCGTCACCATGGCCCGGCTCATGTATCTTTAAGAAAAAAAAAATCCTGTTCCTGATGCTGTCACCTAGTTCTAATGAGAACTCTTAGAAGAAATACAGTGTGCTAACCCGTAGAGCCAGGAAAAATGAAGAATTGTGGATGCCGGTAACTGGAGGTTGGAAATCATCTCTGGTGTTAGTGGAGGGGATGTAGACATTTTGGTCTGTTGGGTGGAGAAGCGAGGAGGGGAGAATGGGGCAGGGGATACAGACGGTGAGGAGACACAGCAGGACACTCTGGCTTACCTCATCCCTCACGTGGGAGAGGGCCTCCCCAGTGATATAAAACCATCTTCAGATGCTGAGGAGATGACAGCTGTCACTGTCTTCCGTTTGTGACCACAGGAGACCACAGAGAGAGACATTTCCCAAGAATGGAGCCACTGGCAACGACCTTTTGTCCTCTGGAATCCACACAGTACACCGGAAACGAATCCCTAAATGGAACCACCTGGTCTTCAAAGCAAGTGGTTGACTATAGTTATATTTCTGTTTCCCTGGTGATCTGTATGCTGGGCCTGACTGGGAACGGACTTTTGATATGGTTCCTCGTCTTCTGTGTCAAGAGGAAGCCATTCTCCATCTACCTCCTGCATCTCGCCATTGCCGACTTCATGGTTCTCCTCTGTTCGTCCGTCATTCAGTTAGTGAACACCTTCCACATCCATGACGTCACCTTACTGAGCTATGCCATCTTCCTCATGATCTTTGGCTACAACACGGGCCTACACCTCCTCACAGCCATCAGCGTGGAGCGATGCCTTTCAGTGCTTTACCCAATCTGGTACCAGTGCCGGCGCCCAAAGCACCAGTCTGCCGTGGCCTGTGCGCTGCTGTGGGCCCTCTCTGTGCTCGTGTCTGGGTTGGAAAACTTCTTCTGCATCCTGGAAGTGAAGCCCCGATTCCCAGAATGCCGTTACGTGTACATATTTTCCTGTATCTTGACATTCCTGGTCTTTGTGCCTCTCATGGTCTTCTCCAATCTAATCCTCTTCATCCAGGTCTGCTGCAACCTGAAGCCACGCCAGCCCGCCAAGCTCTACGTGATCATCATGGCCACGGTCATCCTGTTTCTCGTCTTTGCCATGCCCATGAAGGTGTTGCTCATCGTCGGCTACTATTCCAACTCAACAGACGAATCCGTCTGGAAATCCCTCCCTTACCTGACCATGCTGTCCACCATCAACTGCAGCATCAACCCAGTTGTCTATGTCGTGGTAGGCAGTCTGAGCAGGAAGAGGAGACAGAAGTCTCTGAAAGAAGCCCTGCAGAAGGTCTTTGAGGAAAAGACAGCCGTGGGCTCCAGGGAGGATGTTGCACAGTTCCCTCCTCTTTCGTGACCTCCTGCTAGGATAGCCCCAAGGAAGGACGCTTGATGTCATCCCCGTGTGGGAATATAAGACTGTTCTGAAACCACTTCGCTATCTTCCCACCTGGTGGTTCACCTAAGATGAAAGGGAAAGTCCTTCATCCCTCCGGCAAGAAATGATAATGAGACACCCTGTACACAGGACGTACTTGGCCGCTGACAACTTGATGGGGCTCATGGCTTTTGCCAGTCCTGGGGATTGGCTCTTGAGCGTCCTACGTGCTGGGCAAGTTCTCTAGCACAGAGCTCTGACCCTTGCTTGACCTTGCCTTCCCAGCACAGAACTCCATGTCCCAACCTGTCTCACATCATCTTCTTGTCACCCTTAGGAGCCACTGTTATCGATCTACTGTCACAGATAAAGGTAAGAGGTTTAGTGAGGACTCAGAATATGGATGGTGCTGATCCAGACTGTGACCTAAGGAGTCTGACCCCCAAACCCACCCTTGAGACCATAAAGCCCAGGGCAGTCTTTGAGAGGCACTATGAACTATACTTTAGTCGGATATCACTCCTCACTTCCTCTCCCTTGGGTCTCCCCTTTCCATCTTGTCCTTCAAACGCATCAGAAGAAAACAGGTCAGTACAGATAAGGGACACCTATGCTACCTTACAAGCAACTTCACTATTCACACACTAAGAAATTACTATGGGTCCAATTGAGAGGTAGCTGGGATGTCCCATGTGTCCTTTAAAGATGTCATCCTGTAAGAATTAGAGGGAGTGTCGGGCATTGGTAGTGCATGCTTTTAATCCCAGCATTTGGGAGGCAGAGGCAGGTAGATCTCAGTGAGTTTAAGGTCGACCTGATCTACAAAGCAAGTTCCAGGACAGCCAGGACTGTTACACAGAGAAACTCTGTCTTGGAAAAAAAAGAAAAGAAAAGAAAAGAAAAGAAAAGAAAAGAAAAGAAAAGAAAAGAAAAGAAAAGAAAAGGAATTAGAGGAAACCTCAACAAGGAGGAGTGAAAATTTGCTTAGGCATGGACATTTTCTCTCTGTCTCCCTTCCTGCCTCCCCCCACTCCCAAGTGTCCCTCCTCTGATTTTCTTCTATCCCTACTTAGTTTTTTGAGAGAAGATTTTACTATGTAGCTCAGTCTTGCCTCAAGTTTTCAACGCGGCTGCCTAGTTTCCGAGCATTGGGATTACAGACACGTTCTACCATTCCCAGTTACTTCTCTTCACTCTGTTCCTGTCTTCTGCTTTCTTTTGCCTAAACGTGAGATGCTTATGTACCTAGGAACAACATGCAATGCACCTTTCTGTAAAATGTGTACAAAACAAATCCATGCTTCTCCCTTGGTGACCCCAGCGTGCGGCTATTACCTGACCTCCCTAACACACCATCCCTCACTCCTCGGCTCATTACTGAGCACTAATTGGAAATGCTGCTGCCAATACTTTTGAAATGGAGTGTTTTCTGTTTTTATTGCAAAGCAAACATTCTGCAGTAGTCCCAAGGCACAGTGGAAGGACTTTGCTATTTTAAGGTCAGGCCCAGCTTCTTCTCAGTGTTATTTATAGATTTTGTTCATCGAGTCATTTTCTTACTGATATAAAGTCCCACAATGCAACTGGCTTTCATAAGATAAAACCTTAAAAGCAAACCTGAAAACCTGGGGTTATACTGAATGCTTTAGGATTCTGTGGCTTTGGGCCCGTTCCAACTATAATGAGAAGTTCCAACTACAATAAATCATAAATTAGAAAGTATATTTTAATAAATATGACAGCAGGTTAATATCCTTTAATATTTGGAATGTTCAACTAAACCAAGAGTAAAAATGGTGGGATACCAATAGATAAATGGATAAATATTAAATGATGAACAATTTATAATCCCACTACAAACAAGCAAAAATGACCCATAATCAGAAGTGTTTGAATTCAGTAGTTACCAAAAATGCTAATTAAAGACAACGGAATGGAGCCAGGCATATCCAGATCCATAATCTGAACACTCAGAGGTGAGGAAACAGGGGGTTTCCTGTGACCCTCAAATAAACAATAAAATAAAATATCTGAATGCTGTTTTAGCTCATACAAATGGCAAAGCCTAATAAATTGTTGTCTGCGTATGCGTGGTGCTTGGGGAAGAAACCCAAGGCCTCGCACGCCAGACAAGCCCTCTGTCATGAGCTAGACTCCCTGCCAAGGGTGGATGTTACTAGTCAAGAACTGAGAGCAGCCTCTTTGGACACCGAGTCGCTACCTTCCTGGTTTCCACTCACTCCATCCTGAACTGCGTTTGGTTTGTTGAGTTGCATGCTGAGGAGAGAGAACTGAACCTTTCCTTTGGCTGCTGAGTTAGGAGGGTGTCCGCCATTGACTCTGAACCGGGACTATAACCGTCCAACCTCCTCAGCGACCTCGCTGTGAGAGAGACTGCTGTCATTGCCGGAAGAGCACAGGCTGCCTGGACTCCGGCGGAAGAGCGGCCACTTCTGAGCTACAAGCCAGAAAATATCGCTCCCTCCATGAATGCCGCCTTCCTTCAGAAACTTGCCCTTTGCTGGGTGTTTCTGGCTTGCTCTGAGAAACACCGGGAGAGCTGTCCCGGTGACCCTCCCCAAAATTTGACAGTGGGATACAGCTGAGGAGAGCATCCCTCACACCTCAGCATCCGTCTTGATCCTAGGATCAGCTTCTACTACTGTGAAACCACCAAGGTGACCCAGACTGCAAAGCACTTTTCTTTTTAATGTGAGAAAAGCGGAGAAACAAACCCGCAACTCTAAAGCAGCCCCAGGGAGTCTTCCTCACTCTCTGCCCCCGTCGCTTGCAGTCACCGATTTCAACCTCCAGGATTCTCTCTGCTCTGGGGAACCACTGCAGGGACAGAAGGGGTTAGAAACGGTGAAGTAAAGAAAGTCCTAACGGACCTGCAGGAGCTTCCCTGGGGTGTGAGCAGGCTCTCTGTGAAGAAGTTGGGAAGTCAGTCAGATCTGAGGCTCCACAGACTCTGCCCTTTCCTGACCCCGGTTCCAGTCACTTCAGGGCAAGTACTTTATTTCATATTGTGTTTCACTGGGAATCCGAGAAACACGGGCTATCTCCAAAGGTGTGTGTGTGTCTCTCTGTATTAGCAGCTGTGTACTTAGGCAGCCGGAGCCAGGATGGTGAGCTGGCTCAGTAGGCAAAGGTGCTTGCTGTTAAGCCTGGTAACCTGAGTTGGGTCCCACATGGTGGGGTCAGAGAATTGACTTTTGCAAGTTGTCCCCTAACCAATGTGGGCACCCACCCACCCACACAAATAAACAATGTAAATATTTAAAAATTGAATAGCAGAATTCGACCATAAAATGCCTTCGGTTCCATATAAGAGATAATGCCAAATGCTATTGCAACACTGTGACCGACTACTCACGTACAAACACTTACTGAGGATGCATGGCCTGTGCTCTTGTCTAAGGGGCTGGGAAAGGCACACAGCAAGCCTGTACTTGTCTGGAATCCCTCGGCCTCTGGGCTGATCAATCATGAGGCCAGGACCTGTGCACTAGCTCTCTCCGGATCCAGGAAATTTCAGGCACCCAAGAGGTCCTCATCATCCAGAGGACCTGAGTTCAGTTTTCAGCAGTCACATCGGGTGATTCACAATTGGCTGTAACACCAGCTCTGGGAGTGGGAGGGGGATCCAATGCCTCTGGCCTTTGACCTCCACAGGGCCCTGCACTCACATACTCACACCCCCATACAGACACACATACATACACATAACATACACATCATTAAAATAATAAAAGATAAACAAATCTTTTAAAAATGCCACCAGGCAGCATTAGACACCCAGGTAGCCTTATTCTTTGCTGCAGCTGCCTGACTCTCCCTGACCTTAGTCAGAGAGGATCCATGGACTGTTCTCACACCTTCAGCTGCTGCAAAGCTCTTGACCCACCCTTGCCTCATGTGATAAGGGTGCATGGAGGGGGGGCAGAGTGAGCTAGCTCCCCTGTTCCTGCTTTTCTCTGTGTGCTTTCTCTGCCTCCAGGCGGTAGAAAAGGAGACAGCTGGCCCCAGCAGACGTGGGCGGGCATGAGTCTCTTCCCTGCCCCGTCCAGAGTCAATGTACTTGGACTCTTCTAGAAGTGGTGGCTGCCGTCCCATGCTGAGGCCCAAAAATTACTGGAGTGAGGGCAAAGGGAAGTCCCAGGGGCAGGGTGAGCTCTTGAGTAGGGAAGTGGCAGTCTCAGCGGTCTGGTCCCACACACACCCCAGGTAAACCTTGTGCGCGCCTGGATATGCACACTGCCCCAGCAACTGACAGCACCAAGAAGCGGGAAACAGACACAGTCCCTGCTTGCGGGGAGGATTAGAATTGAGTGGCTGTTTCAAGTTATATTTTAGTTTTTAGATTTTTGGTTTTTACTATTATTAAGACAGGGTTTCACTATTTAGCCCTAGCTGTCTTAGAACTCACTTTGCAGCCTGGGCTGGCATCCACCTTACAGATATCTACCTGCCTCTGCTAGGATTAATAGTTCTTAGCTTTCTTGAGACAAGTAACTCAGGTTGGTCTTGAACTCAGTAAGTAGTGGACGATGGCCTTTAACTCCTGATTCTCCTGTTTCCAACTCTCTAAAGCAACTTAAAACAATCTTTTTCAAGTTGGGTGGTGGTGGTGCACACCTTTAATCCCAGTATTTTGGGAGGCAGAAGCAGGCAGATCTCTATGAGTTCAAAGCCAGTCTGGTCTACAGAGCGAGTTCTAGGACAGCCAGGGCTACACAGAGAGAAACACTGTCTCCAAACAAAAACCAAATCATTCCAAAGGAGAGAGACTGTAACTTAGTTGACAGACCATTTGATTAGCATTCCTGAAGCTTAGCATCCCTGGGTTTGATTCCCAGGGCCCCCTAAACTAGGCGTGGTAACACGTGACTATGGTACCAGCACTCAGAAAGCAGACGCAGGGGCTGGAGAGATGGCTCAGTGGTTAGGAGCACTGGCTATTCTCCCAGATAACCAGGTTTTGATTTCCAGCACCTACATGGCAGCTGACAACCATTTTAAACTCCAGTCCCAGGGGATCCTACACCTTCTTTCTGGCCTCTGTGGCATGCACATGGTTCACAGCCATACATGCAGACAAAACACTCATGTATGTAAAATAAGTAATTTTTTAAAGGTAGGAGCAGAAAGAATAAGGAGTTCAAAGCCATCCTTGTCTATATAGTATATCTGAGGTCAATCTAGGCTCCATGAGACCTGGGCCAGAGGCATTACTGGGTAAGGGGCTGAAGATGGTAGTGACAGCGGGGAACCATGGACACTGACAGGCAACGCTGCTGAAAAGGTGCCCTTCCCCTCATACACTGCACAGGCTGTCTCCACAGGAGGCAGTTACAGGTGAGGCTGGGGTTTCAGTGCATCCTTCAGAGGCTATGTTCAGCCCTAAGGGTGGGGACCCGCTCAGAACCAAGGTGGCCACTGGGACCATACTGGCACCCAATTAAGGGCGGAAGAGAGCAGATGGACCTGGGCTATGAGACGTCCGACCTGCTACTGCTCCTTGGGAAAGTCATGCTGGCTCCGGTTCTAAGCCCTGAGTCAGCATTTCCAGGTAAGAGCCTGGAGGACAAAGGCTGCAATGACAGAAGGGACACCAGGAGACCGAGAACTCAGTACCTGCCCTTCAGTGGTTACCAGAGCATCTGACCTGCCAACCTGACTGGATGGCGCACCACAGGAGAAAATAAATGCCACAGGAGAAAATAAAACAAAACAGGGTTCTGGGAGAGGTCAGGGAGGTGAATCCACCACATCGGGATCCTGTGGCCTCATAGCAGGGAGTGGGGACCCCTTAGATTGGTGGGAACGAACATGACAAAGACACAAGGACCCAACATGGCCCTGTCCAACACCCAGGAATCCAAGATGGCTGAAGAAAGGATCTGTGAAGAGATCTCTAGTAGCCAGCTCAGAGACAGCGGATAGGCTCACCTGAGAAGGTGGAAGCTGGCCTGTCCAGAGGGTGCTGATGATGTGGGACTGAGCACCGGAACCTCTGACTCAGAGCTCCCTGCTGGGAGTCCATCATGCTGTAGGAACCTGGCCCGTTCACTACTCCAGCCCCAGAGCAGGACGCCTGATGGAGACCCCCACTCAGACCTCTCACCCTGAGCGGGTGCTGGCAGGGACCCCTCTCCAGCTCAAACTGTGTGTGGCTCCACCACACCCTACACACATGCCCTGGAGCAGCTAATCCTAGGTTCAGACCCGGTTCAGCTCAGTCAGTACCACTCATCAGCTTTCCCAAGCTAGGGTTCAATACTTCATCTGTGGGAACGATGTGCCTGAGGGACACGGCGTCCATCATGGGAGGTGGCCATAGCAGCTATCGGCAGGAAAGGCCACAGTTATGACAGTTTTGTTTTGTTTTGTTTTGGGTGGATTTTTGTGCGGTTGTTTTGTTTTGTGACATGATTTCTCTGTGTAGCCTTGGCTGTCCTGGAACTTGCTTTGTAGATTAGGCGGGCCTTGAACTCACAGAGATCGGCCTGCCTCTGCCTCCCAAGTGCTGGGATTAAAGGTGTGCGCCAACACTGCCGGCTATAGTTCTTAAAATTTCACACTTTATGAGAATGCCCTGCTGCGTTTTGAGGAACCCTCTGTTTGTCTTGTCCAAGCAGTACGGCGTGAGGGCCAGCCCACCGCCTGGGAAAGTGAAGACAGGGGATAGACTCCTGGCCTTTACTTTGTCAGATGTATTTCATGAGCAGTCTTTCGACTCCATCAGCACGTATCTGTGATAGCAGGGCACCCACTCTCCATCCCTAGGACTCCTCTGCCCACAGCCCTTCCCACACCGCATGACTGCACCGCAGCCTTGGTTTAGATCACGTGGTACTGAGCTTTGCTCTGGACGGGCTGTCACCCCACAATAATTGCCGGAAACAGACCTGAGAAGGCCGTGTGCTCTGAACTACCAGCTTCTTACTGTGAACACAGAGCTTCCTGCATGTGCATTTGATGGTTTCATTAGCGGAAATTAAGGCTGACTGTTCGTTCCTCCCATAATGCCTCAGCATGTACCAGCCCAGCGGTAGTGTATCCTTGGGTTAGAGCAATTTTTAATCCTAAACAATTGCCTGATCCTAAAATCTTCTGGTTGAGTTGCTTAAATTTCATCTAAAAATGTACGATGAGGGACTGGAGAGATTGCTCAGTGGTTAGGAGCAGCGGCTGTTCTTCCAGAGAACAGTTTAATTCCCAGTGCCGACATGGCAGTTCACAACTGCCTGTAACTCCAGTTCTAGGGGACCTGACACCCTCACACAGACATGCATGTAGGCAAAAAACCAATGTACATGAAATAAAATCATTTTTTTTTAAATGTTGCATGAGTTTTGGTTTAGGATTTGGACATAATTCCAACAATTGCTGGAATGGCCCCATTTCTACTGCTTTATAGTATGAATCGACACGTCCTAACATCCTCAAAACTGGCGATTATAAATCAGAATATTAGCCAATTCTGAAAAACACTGATGAGGGGCTCAAATATTCAGCCAAGATTTAGTTCTTTTTACAAAAATAAAGTTATCTCATTAGTTTGTAAATTTGTTTTCAATGTTAAAATTACATGTATGCCAAAGGAAAAGTGATGGTTATTAGTAAACACTTATTTTTGTGTTTTGAGATAGTTATATAGTTCTTACCGTCGTGGAACTATGTAGACCAAACTGACCTCTAACCCAGAGATCCACCTTCCTGAGTGCACAGATTAAAGGCATACACCACTACACCACCTGGCTAAAATGCTTGATTTGTATACTTAATAGACTTGCACACTTGAGCTCACCTGAAAAGATCTTGGCTGAAAAGAAACTGTGAGCTAGCCGGGCGATGGTGGGGCACACCTTTAATCCCAGCACTAGGGAGGCAGAGGCAGATGGATCTCTGTGAGTTCGAGGCCAGCCTGGTCTACAGAGCTAGTTCCAGTACAGGCGTCAATGCTACAGAGAAACCCTGTCTCGAAACAATAAAAGCAACCACAAAAAGCTGTGAGTGGAGAAAAAGCTAAGAAGCCTGTGCTAAGTTAATGGCAAAAAACATGGGGGGGGGGGATCCACCTCTCTGTTTCCCCACTGTACCTTTCTAGGGCCTCTGAAGAGATGTCTCTGTGGTTAAGAGCACGTACTGCTCTTGCAAAGAACCCAAGTTCGGTTCCCAGGCCCTTTCACTGGGCAGCTCACAACCACCAGCAACTCTAGAGGATCTGACTCTAGGGGCACTGCATTTACTTACTTAACCCACCCCCCCGCGACACCTCCCCCCCCCCCACGCACTTTTTTAAAAACAACTTTGCCACAAGCAGAAGCCATACAGCGAGTTTCTCTGTGTCACAGCCCTAGCTGTCCTGGAACTCTGCTCTTCCAGAGGTCCTGAGTTTAAATCCCAGCAATCAGAGGGTGGCTCACAACCACCTGTAATGAGATAGGCCGCCCTCTTCTGGCCTTCAGGCAGAACACTGTATACATAATAAATAAAGCAGAAATTCTATGCTGAAGCTACGTCAGTGCTGAAACACCTAGAAAGAGGTCCAAGGCAGCATGGTATGGGCGCACGTGACTGCAATGAGAACAGAATGGTGTCTGGTTCAGAACAGTTGTAAACTAATCAGAGTGAGGAGCCAACACCTGCACGCACGGCTAAGCTCCTGTCTGATGTCCTGAGGGTCTGTTGAATTGAAGGCTGGGTCACTGGGAGGTGTCCTGGAAGTGAGGCCAAATGGGAGGTCCCTGGGCCCAAGGTCATTTTTTAAGGATTTATTTACTGTGTGTACAGTGTTCTTCCAGCTTGTAAGCTGGGCCGAAGGAGGCACCAGATCTCATTACAGGTGGCTGTGAGCCACCACACGGTTGTTGAACTGAGGACCTCTGGAGGGGCAGCCAGAGCACTTACCTCTGAGCCATCTCTCCAGCCCCCAGGTCTTAAGGGTGCACTAATGCTCCCCCCCCACCATGGAGGAAATGGGGGTGGGGACTTGCTGGCATGTGACCTTGAACTTTCTACTGAGAGATTTCTCCAGAGACAAACCCCAGGGTGGGGATGTGACCTTCAACTTTGAACTTCCTAAACTGGGACCTAACCCTTTTCCTAGCTGACACGAAGTGGAATAGGAACCAAGGAATACTGGAGTCGGTGGATCAGAGGTCACCAGGCACAACAGTCTGTCAAACGCACACTTCTGGCTAAAAAGGTATTCTTTATTTGTTAAACAGAAATAACAGGGGAAACTGATTTCTAACTGGGGTCTCCATCCTCTTTAGGGGTGCGCTGTCCACCAACAATCTCAGAGGAAAGAAAGCTTGCTGAAAAAGTCAAATTCTTGGCTTCTGAGATGAATTTATTTAGAATTTTGGAAAGCTGGAGCAGAGGCAATGGGATGAGTACCCAAATGCCTGGACTCTCAACAGCAGGCTCCAGAGAGGCTTTATTTGGCTTATTCTTCCACTGAGCGGGGCCTGTTCGCGGCAGACCTCCCGCATTCTAGAGAGTTTCTGAGTGAAGTTAGGGGAGAGAAAGTGGGTGCTGATAAGGAGCGATTTTCCATCCAAACAGATCAGTGTCCAAGCAGCCGGGCTGGTGGGAAGCCAGGGCTGGCAGGCCTCAGGCCCTGTGTGGGCAGCAGGCCACAAGGGCCTCAAAATTAACCGTGAGCCCCATGGAAAATCCCACACCCATGCCAGGTGGTGGCGGCACACACCTTTAATCTCAGCACTCGCAAAGCAGAGGCAGGCGAATCTTTGAGTTCAAGTCCAGCCTGGTCTACAAAGTGAGTTTCCAGGACAATAGCCAGGGCTACACAGAGAAACACTGTCTCACTGGAAAAAAAAAAAAAAAAGGGAAGGAAAACCCCACACCTGGACACAGAAAGGCCAACTGGGGACAAGTTGGCACCCAAGGTTAAGCTGAGCTCTGCCACTCAGGCTCAGGTGACCCTCAAAAAAATGGAAGACACCCGTGGGAAGCTGATACAACTATTTGGTCCTAGAGATGAGAGAACAAGAAAATGGCCTTTAATCCCAGCACCCAGGAAACAGAGGCAGGGGAATCTCTGAGTTTGAGACCAGCCTGGATCTACATAACAAATATCCAGGACAGCCAGGGCAACATACGTAGAGACCCTGGTCTCAAAAAGATAAATAAACGTCCAGTGGAATGGGAAGCCACCTAAGACGCTGGAACCAAAGGATTTCACTCAGGCCTTTGGAGGAGCAGAGGGAAGACAAGATGGCATGACTGGGGTCAGGCAGCTCTCTGGACAAAAGGTCAGGTGTAAGGAGTTACCCCAGCCAGCTCCTCCAGTCATCCATCCTGCAGGCCGATAGCGGTGGACATGCCATCCGAGGAAGGTGGCCTCTATCACAGGACAGTGAAGGGTGTGCACCATGGCAAGTGGGCTCAGGACCATTTTAGTCGCAGGGGACCAGGTCAGCCCTGGAGAAATGAAGATGTAGGATGGGGTCCTCCGAGCTAGAGACCAGCTAGGATCTCAGTAAAAGAGGTCAATGGCTGACTACGGGGACCAAATGAGAAAGGAGGTCTCCAGAAGAGCTGGGATGTAGGGACGCCCAGGTGTATGCAGGCAGATATACAAGCCGCCTTAGCCCAGGGATGAAGTATCGGAAAGCAAAGGAAAAGACCCCCTCGAGAGGCATTTTAAACCCCAAGTCACTGAGAATCTGCAGTGGGGAGACCGAGTTGGCACCACCCCAAAGTTTACAGGAAAGAAGTGGGGCTGTCTTCTCAGCTCCTCTCTTCAGCTCGAAAGCAGAGGTTTTAAAAGCACTCTGGTGAGATGGCTGTGTCCAGTCTCCAAGCAGTAACACGACCATAGTGCTGGGCCTGCTCTGATCATGGAACTAGGAACTTTACCAGCTGCCCGTGCCTCTCAGCAGTAGAGCCGTTGGGGCCTGTGACTCCCAAGCCTGGGCGATTGACATCCCTCCATTCCGTGACAGCGCCACGGGCTTCTCCACAGCATACTGGCTGCTATTCCTCTCATGCTGACCTGTTCAGTGTTTGATCTCCTCCTGTTCTTATACCGCAAGTCCGGGGAGCCTGGAGCCCTGGAGTCCCAGTGTCGGCCAGGTACCTTCACTGTGGCTCACACAGCATCTACTGAAGCCACAGTAGTCTCTTCCCTCGTCTCTGCCAACTCCTGTCCAAACAGCCCCTTCCCTCACACACACACACACACCAAAATTCGGGACATGCTGGAGCAGTGGTTCCAACCCAAGTGGCCAGGACTTCCCCCAGCTTACAGGAAGGAATGCATTGGCCACGTACAAAGGTCCTACAGATGCAAGGGTTTTATCGTCAGTCTTATTTACAGAATCTCACATTTAGAACACAACAAAAATATGTACAAAGGACCATACAGGTCTGTCTGAAAACAAACTGGTTTATACAGACGAGCCGCAAGGGCCATCTCTGGAAGCTGGGGCGGAAGTTGAGGAGGCTCACTGCACTCAGGGCCTGGGTCTTCCCAGGATGAACGCAACCATGGCCCAGGTGGTGACAATGCTGCAGACTCTGTAAGGCAAAGGCATAAGTCAGAGTTCTGGGCGGGGTAGGGTCTGCCTGGGGACCAGAGGCAAGTGGCACAGGCTCTGCTCGCCATTCCCTCATTCAACCAAATGTGTTTTTCTTTTGTTCTCTTTCTTAGACAGGAGCTCAAGTATCCCAGGGTGGCCTCAGGTTTTCTATGTGGCCAGAGATATCCTTGATCTCCTGGTCTTCTGCATCTCCAGTACTGGGATGACAGGTAGTTTAGGTGAGGCTGGGGAAGGAACCCAGAGCTAAGCACCCACTCCACCCACTGAGCCACCTCCCCACACAAATGTCCTTTCAACCATTCTCCAGGTGCCAATCGTGAATGTCCGCCTCTTGGGCCAATCCCGAAAAGCCACCTTCCCCAGAGATGTAGGTCAGAGACGGGCAGGACAAGAGGCTGCCCATGGTAGCCATGGCTCCCACGGCCTTTGGAGCCTCCTAAAGCTTCAGCAACTCCAAGGCTGGTTTTCCAGTCACTTGGGTCCCAACCTCAAAGGCGACTTAGCCCCTCTCAGGGCTGCTGCTTGCTTGGTCCCCTTCCCGTCACACAGGCTGGACCATACACAGCCATACTTGTTCCCTGATGCCCCGCCCCTCATTGGCACAGGAGACAGCAAGGCTTTGGAAATGGGAGTTGGATTGTATCCCTTCTCCTCTCGATCCCACAATACATCCACAGTCCTCACATGTGTAGCGGCCTCCACTGCAAGGGACCCATTCCTTACCTTATCCCTTTGCTTGTCCCCCGTCGTTGGCCCCCTCTGCTCACCAGGCACCTTCATTTAAGGGCTGCTGCCCCCTGCCTAACTGCTGCTCCTCACTCCTTACTTCCCCAAATCTTACTGAGACTCCCATCACCTCCTCTGTACTTCTCTCCCCTCCCCACCCCCAGATTTCCTTTGCACTGTACCCCTCAGGTCTCTCCCCTCCCCACCCCCAGATTTCCTTTGCACTGTACCCCTCAGGTCTCTCCCCATCATCTCCTCTGCACTGTACCCCCCCGTCTCTCCCCATCATCTCCTCTGCACTGTACCCCCCCAAGACCTCTCTCTATCCCCACTCTTTCTCGCATTTTCAATATGCATGTCACCAATACCACATAGAGTTCGCTCACTTGTTTATTACATCCCTGTTACTGCCCAACTAGCTGAGCAGTCCACTTTGGCTCAGAGATAAAGCAGGGCCCAGGGGGATGCGCTGAATGAGAAAGCTTCCCGTCAACAGCTCAGAGCGGTTAGTGAGCAGGGCCAGAACCAGACAAAACGGGACCTCGGCAGACAGGTCACTCACTGTAACAGGCAGGTGATGTTGGGGGAATGTCTCCAGTACCGGTACAGCGAGATCTGCAGGGTCGGGTGGCTCCTGTACTCCTTCAAGACATTGCGGGCACTGCCGAAAGAAGTTTGCCCAGGTCAGCAATGTGGCCACAGTCACCGAAGGAGAAGAGGGGACTTGGAGTGAGGCACCTACTCCTTAAACTTATTGGTCAGGAGCAGAAACTGGCTTCGAGTGAACCGTCTGACATCAAACTTGCAGAGATTCTGGAACTCACGGTAGACCTGGTGCTCGCTGACCCCAGGCCACCTCCTGACGGTAAGGATGAGCACAGGAGGGCGGATACTGGGGTAATCCGGGCCAGAAAAGTTCTAAAAAACAAACCAAGAGAAATTCTTCATAGTTCTCACTGACACTTCGTGCAACTAAAAACACTAAAGGGGTTGTGCTTGAGGCTGGAGCAGAAAGGAGAGAAAGGAGGAAGAGATGGATCTATGTAGGTTTGGGCGGAAGAAACAAGTGTCACGGGGAGGGAGCTTCCTCAGCTTCCGCTTCATTGTCATCAGAACCCCTCGGCACACCCCAAGACACATTTGGCGGCCGCCTCCCCACAGGCCTGAGCAAAGCCAGGGAGCAGAATGAGACATACTCACAATTTTAGGAACCCCAGCTCGGATGAGATTCACTTGGTTCACATATGGCGCCAGCACTTCGAGGTACTGAGGGAAGGTGGACTCCTCGTCGTCGACAGAAACAGCGCTGCAGGACAGAGAACCCGGAAGCACTTAGGCAGGCACATGGGTTTTATATGCAGGTCCTCGGGCACAGCCAAGATTCTCAGTAGGGAAACAGGGAAGGTAGCTGCCTCAGGCACCTCTCTCCTCCTCCTCTCCCACCTGGCCCCAGGTGCTGCTGCAAGCGCTCACTCTGTGCCAGAACAGAGGAAAGAGGAAACCAGCTGACAGCCCCTCACATAAGCTCTAAGTCTCGCATCAATATGTCATAAAACATTTGTATTTATATCTGTGGCGAAAATAGACAAAGGCGGTTCCTAAATATGTCTCGCCCGTCCTGAAGAACAGGCCACAAATGTGATGAAACCCTTCTGTGGACACCGCGTCCCGTGGAATTTATGTGACCCACTAACAGTTCTGTCACATCTCAAAGTCAAAGTGCCCTTGGTGCTCACATGGCAGCTCGGGGCATCAAGATGCCACCACCACCAGGGGCAATGCATTGGCATTCTGATTTGGGATTCTGTGTTCCTCCATCCAGGCACCTCTCTCCGTCACTGTCCTCCCTGAAGCCTGTACGATCCCATGATGTGTCTTTCATCTGAACACCTTATCCCCTGGCCTCACTGTCACCTCCAACAGCTGTGAGAACATCTGTAGCTGACAAAGCCAAGGCACTGAGCCAGGAAGTTCCCCAGGAGGAATTAGTGCTCCAGTCAAACCCTGTTGTGTGAGTCTCCTGGTGTATGCCCATCTACCCATTGCCAAGACAGGGGCAGAACCCATGCAGGAGGTGGGGAGGCAGGAAAGGGCTCCTTGAAGCAGACGGCCTGCTTCAACACTGGCTGGTCCTGGGTGAGAAACCCACTACTACACATTCCTTCTTGGTGTAGGAGGGCCTTCTGTCTTTGTATTGTTTTCATTGGTTAATAAAGAAACTGCTCTGGGCTTGGTGATAGGGCAGAACTTAGGTAGGTGGGGAGACAGAACTGCATTCTGGGAGGAAAAAGGCAGAGCCATGGATCCTCTGCCTGAGATGGACGCTGGTTAGAATTTTACCCAGTAAGCCACTGACACATTGCAATATACACAGATTAATGGAGATGGGTTAAATTAATGTAAGAGTTAGCCAGTAAGAATCTAGAGCCAATGGGCCAAGCAGTGTTTTAATTAATACAGTTTCTGCGTGGTTATTTTGGGGCTAAGCTAGCTGGGAGGCCAGGACAAACCAGCAGCCTCCTACAACACCTTCTTTTTGGTAGTCCTGTGACCCAGAGGTCCTGGCTGAGGCCTTAGGACTTGGTAACAGGATGGAAGGGAGGACACTCACCCATGCACCCTCTCCAGGAGCAAGTGCGCCACTTTCAAAAGAACTAGAAGAGAAAGCCAGAGATGTAAGCGGTCTCAAGGCTTGTGGAAAAGATCAAACTCAACCCTACATGCAGCCCAGCAAGAGCCCAGCACATATCACCAGAGCAGAATGCCCCTCTAAGGAGCACCTTACCTGACCCACAGAGGAAGGCATCATACGCAGCTTCATGGGGGCACTTGGTCTCCGCTGAAGTGGTTTTCCAAAAGAGAGAGGTCAGTGATTAGAACGCATCATGAGAAAGTGGTCCCTCTTCCCATCCCATTCAACCTTACTAGCATCCAAGCAATTGTGGCACACAATATGTGTGCCCTTCTGCCTATAAACATTTGTCATCCTGGTCCTTGCCATGTAGAGATGACACACCACACCCCACACATTGGGAGAAAACAGGTTCCTATGACCTGACTATTCTCTGGAAGGCAGAGTTTTGGGGAGCAGAGCAAGGCAGGTCAGGGGGGAGTCATCACCCAAGCCTCTGCAGCCTGCTTGGGGAGGGGGGCGGGAACCAGAGAACCTTTAGCTCAGCCCCAGGGCACTTGGCCAACTGTGCAATGGGCCCGAGCTCAGGAACATACCGTATTTTTTACACTGTCTTGCATGAATAATCTCTGGTCCAGAATTCTTAGTGGGATTCAAGTTACTAATAGGGAGGAAAACAGGGGTGGGGAAAATAAAGATTAACTCACTAAACGTATCTCCTCTTGTCCCCTGCTTAAGCTATAGAGATCTGCGCTCAGCACATCCTTTTAAAAGGTGTGGATGCAGTCCTGATGGCGCACGCCTTTAATCCCAGGACTCGGGAGGCAGAGGCAGAAGGATCTCTGTGAACTTGAGGCCAGCCTGGTCTACAGAGCGAGTTCTAGGACAGCCAGGGATGTTACAAAGAGAAACCCTGTCTCAACCCTCCCCCCAAAAAAATTTTTTTAAGAAAAAAAGGCATGGATCTAAGCATGGACAGATGAGGTCTGAATGAGGCCACAGAACAAGAGGAAGATAAAAGGGACTTAATTGGATATATTCCAGTACGTGGAAAACATCTGGACACTACAGGGAGCTGCCTGCCCTGTGGAGTTTGGAGTCTCTAAGTACAGAGCTAATCATACTGTGTCCTGGAGCACAGACAAACTCCAGGGTCCTTCCAGGCTGCCCAAAGGGAGTGGCACCGGAGGACAGTCTGGAGCTGTGTGAGCAGGTGGCAGTGAGGAGCAGACGCAGCCCTCCTGGAAAGCACGGCTGGAGACCAAGAGTGAAGGCTCAAGCCAGCCTGAGCTATACAGACCACCTCAGCGCCAGTCTGGTTGACTGAGTGAAACCCCGCCTCTAAAAAGTGTTGGGGACGTGGGCTCAGCAGTAGGGTGATGCCGAGCATGGGAAGGCCTTAGGAGCAATCCCTGCACTGAAGACGAACAGCCTGGAGCAGCTGCGACCCCGAGAACGCAGAGACGATATATAGGGTAACACCAGCGGGACATGGCTGAGTAGGCAGACGTGGGAGGTGCCACTCTGAAGCCCTGTGGCTCTGGGCCCAGGGGGGCAGCAGCATCCGGCAGTGTGGACATCCCCGACAGATGCTGAGCTTCCCGTGAAATGGTCATGACAGCAGTCCCGTGCCACACACAGCTATCAGGGCTAGAAGGGGTCTCAACAGCGGTGATGGCAGCTAAGTTTCAATAAGCACAAGGCCTGTCCTCAGCCTCCCACGTGCATGACCCCACCTGATCTCACTGCTACCTCCTGAGTTATGAACGTTAGGGTTTTACCTGCTCATTTCATAGACGGCAAGGCCGAGGCTTTTTCAAAGTAGGTTATGAACCAGTGAGTATCAAATTCTGAGTTTAAACCCAAGAAGCACGGATCAGAGTGTGGGAATTAAAAACACAATTCTCTCCTTACACTAATGCCCACGTAAAGGACACATGGCCTTCAGCATTGAGCCTGGGGCCCTGAAGACTTAGGAGATGCTGCAGGCCTGGGAATAGGCTTAAGGGACAAAAGTTAATATTAAGCTGAAGACGTCTTCAGGTCATGCCAGGGAGGAAAATGGAGAAGGAAGCCGGCAGATGACTTCCCAGAATGTCCTACTCGAATGGCTGCAGCTGCACTTCAGCGCCAGGGCTCTTGGCTCTAACGCACGCACGAGGCTCTAGGTTCAATCCCTGACGCTTCAAACCAACAAAAACAAAGCATGAGAAAACAGCCCGGCCAGCTGTGAACCGCATGACCTGCAGCTGCACAAGGGGAAGAAGGGCAAAGGACTGCTGAGACCAGCGACAGGGAGAGGAGGGCGCAGGAGGGACACCCCACAGCGTTCTAGGAGATGGGAGAGAATCAAGGGACCAAGCAGCACTCCCACCAAAAAAGCCAAGTCCAGAGCGAGCATCTCCCACAGAGGAGAGAACCCAAGCTTCCAGGCATACCGTAACACAAACCTTGACCAGCACAGGGACCACAGCCTGTCCCTCGCGCCTTGTGTGCATCATCCTGCCGAGCACAGGGCCCTGAGTAATCGGTGGAGAGCAAAAAAGCCTTACAGCCGTGGGCATGGGGGAAGGGAGCTGCTAAAGGGACCAAAGACAAGGTCACACTACCGCACCAGTTTTAGGTTCCTCACCAAAGGCTTCCCTCCAGGGAAGGAGTTCTGACCCTTTTAGCCCTCGTATTTCCCACAAGTCCGTGCCAAAACCACAGGGTTACCCATGCAAGCCAGGAAGAGGGCCAGAAAGTGAACAGCTTGGTTTTAAGTATGAGTGGTGATGGCAAAAGAAATGAGAGGTGGCGGCCAGGGTCCCCAGCAAAGGGACAATAGGCAGCATCTGCAAGAAGGGAGGAGGCAAGGAGAGGATGGTAAACCCACAGAGCCCTGCTAGCCTCAAACACAGAAGGCGTGTGGGACACAGCTTAGTTGTTAAAGCGCTTGCCTGGCATGCGCAAAGTCCTGGGCTCTACCCCAGCACCCCATAGAATGGGTACAAGCCTGTAATCCCAACACTGGAGAAGTAGAGACAGGAGGATCAGAGTTCAGGCCATTCTTGGCTACACGGGGTGGGGGTTCAAAGCCAGCCCGGAACACCTGAGATCCTGTCTTAAAAGAAACAAAAACTCGGGAGGCAGAGGCAGGCGGATCTCTGTGAGTTCGAGGCCAGCCTGGTCTACAAGAGCTAGTTCTGGGACTGGCACCAAAAGCTACAGAGAAACCCTGTCTCGAAAAACAAAGAAAGAAAGAAAGAAAGAAAGGAAGGAAGAAAGGAAGAAAGGAAGAAAGGAAGAAAGGAAGAAAGGAAGAAAGGAAGAAAGGAAGAAAGGAAGAAAGGAAGAAAGGAAGAAAGAAAGAAAGAAAGAAAGATAGATGACTGTTTTCTGGTGACAGGGGAAACAATGGTAAAATGACGACAGCACTTGTAAAATGTTCACAAAGACAGGCAGCAGGCTGTGAGACCTTGGCCTCTGACTTCTGACTTTCTTGCTCAGAAGCGGGGTCAAGAATGCTGTCTGAGGCACCGCAAAGGCATGAGGAGCCAGACAGAAGGACAGGAAGTCCAAGCAGCTGGGTCACAGTGAGCTGTACCACCAGATCGTCCAAGGAAAAGCACGCAAGTACATACAAACACATCAAAACCAGGGGGCCTGGAGTGAGTTAAAACCAGAGAAAGGTCTCAGGGGTCCCTCGTGGCCTGGGCAGCCAAAGCTGCGGGCTTGTTCCAGAAGCGTCTTCCTCACCTGCTCAGCACATCATACACTTCTGAGAGGTTGGAGACTCGTGGGAAATGCAGTTCCTGCAATCATGAAGAACAGAGCACTGTGCTTGGGGTCAACATCTGCTACAGGCCTCACAGAGGGTCACTACCTGGACCCAGCAAATCCCGGCCTCACAGAGGGTCACTACCTGGACCTGGCGAATCCTGGCCTCCCAGAGGGTCACTACCTGGACCTGGTGAATCCTGGCCTCCCCTTGTGACCTAACCGCCCTTTCCTTCATTTCAGGGCCAGGAGGCCAGGAGATGTCCCGACAAGCCTGGCTAGGATGGTCTGTTACCCAGAGAACTCAGGTCTCTGTCTAGGGACATATGAGAGCACAGGAACCCGAGGCACTGGACTGGGTCCAGGCCGTGTGTGCAGAATATCCAGCATTCTCGGATCAGAAGGCCTTGGGGGCAATGTCAGATTACAAAGTCCCAAGATCAAAGATGAAACGGGTGAGGATCAAATACTAATGGCCTCTCTGACTTCCACTGCCCCTCCTCTGACAGCCACCTGAAGCCATTAACCCAGGACTTTGGAATACGGTGGAGTCCCCTTGCTCTGTCATTGTCTAATTCCTAAAAGCATTTAAAGTAACTCAATATCTCCCTTTTCCACCAGTAGTGCGTGACCTGGGCTACAGGACAATCACGTGGGAAGCTTTCACCTCTCACCTGGTACCACTCTAGACCACATATGAAGTGGGTTCAATTTGCCACCTCCCTGTAATTCTAGCTCTGTCAGAGAACCTAGGACCTCGGTGCTTCCTCCAGACTTTACAAAGGGTCCCTCATCCTTCTCTAGGGACCCTTCACAGATTTATAAAACATGCATCAAGCTCTAAAATAAGCTGTTTGGGCCACACATGATGGTATACAGCTTTGATCCCAGTACGTGGAAGATTGAGGCAGGAGGGCTGTTATAAATTCAGGGTTGGTCAGGGTACCTGTCTTAAAAACAAAAAACAAAACAAAACAAAAAAAAAAAACCACAAAAATGTTGCTCTGTTGTCCAATGAAAAGGACACCATTTACACAAATACAACACAACCGGGGCCTGGAAAGGGTTAAACTACAGAGAAAGGTGTCACCTGCACAGACTCAACAGCCCCGACTCCAAAGCAATCCCTCCTTACCTTCCAGATGTCCTTGGTCACATTCTTGGTGTCAATGAGGACAGGGAACAGGCTGTGGATGTTCTGCTTAAACTGGTCGTAGCTTTCTGAGGGGGAAGGTCCAGATGGGGACACGTAAATTTGTGGGTTCATGGACACAACACAGACCCACTCTAGCCCAGCTGCCACCAGCACTGACTAGCAAAACAGGGAGAATGAGACAAGAATCAGAAATATCCCTAATCCTCATCTACTGCCATTTTCTAAGGTAAAGGTCACAAGGCTTTCCAAACTCAAGGTCCTACCTACGCCATCAGTAGCTAACACCATCCAAGACATCAACCAAACACCCTATAATTAAGCAAAGCGCCCTGACAGGAGAAGGGCTCTCGGTGGAGTCTTACTAGGCCATACTGTGCAGTCACACCGCACACCGCGAATGAAGTTCAGAACAAACAGCATCACCACACACACACTTCCCAGACAAGGAGCCAGGTCTCTTCCCACTGCACTCCCTTCTCCTCCCCAGCAGTGACTTCTGCCATGTCCTCTCCGTGGGGTCCTCGGGCCCACCTCTCTGAGGTTTTGAACACCTCAGTGCTGACTGGTGGAAAGGTCCTGACCCCTTCCCTCTACCTACCCACTGCCCACCTTTCCCTCAGGTCCCACCTGCACTGTGTGGCTGTGGCACCTCGCCATAGCCACAGGCCCCCACCAGCTGCAGCCACTTCTCCATTTGCCTCACTTACCCTCTTCCACTGATAGCCTTTTTCTGTTTGCTCAGGTTTTCTGAGTGCGTCTTATTAATCTTATTAATTTGCCCTTAAATTCTCTAATAAGCTCAAGCCCAGCAGTTCTGTCCAGTCACGTTTTGCAGACGTCCCCCCTAAGCTGTCCACCTCTTTCCTTTAGTGTGCACCACGCCTTTGTGAGTTAGCTCCAGCCCGCCATCATGCTAAGGTCTCTTCTGCCATCTCATCTTCCAGCTAACCAGAGAAAGTAGAGGACCAGCTGAAGGTCACACAGAACATGAGGGATGAACACTTCCCACTGTGCTACACTGCCATTTGTCCATCAAGAGAATCAAGCATGAGAAAAGGAGCACAGCCACCAGACAGGAGCCAGGGGAGCCAACGAAATGACATCCGCTAGGTTTATAATGGCACGAGGGGAAGAGCCAGCGCTAAGATCTAACACCTAGTCTACACAAGATCTAACAAGCCTTAAGATCTAACACCTAGTCTACACAAGATCTAACAAGCCTTAAGATCTAACACCTAGTCTACACAAGCTCTAACAAGCCTTAAGATCTAACACCTAGTCTACACAAGCTCTAACAAGCCTTAAGATCTAACACCTAGTCTACACAAGTGTGTCAGACTCAGAACAAGGGGGAAAAGCCAAAGCATTGAACGACGAAGGGTGGGTTCTCTGCTTCACACACTTCTAATTTCGCCCAAGGTCACATCATGACCCTGGGCAGCTTCAGGCACCCGAAGAGGGTCTGTAATCAGACTGACCCTCCTTGAGACGTCTCCTGGTCTCTGACCAGAAGATGGTACAGACACAGACCTGAGCTTGGGAGAGTGCAGCTCGGCCCCTACCTGGAAGAGGTCGGAAGAACTTCTCGTGGAGATGCAGAAGGTCCATCATCATGTTGTGTCCTACCAAGGGCTACTTGGAGCAAAGCAACAGGGGAGAGGAAGGAAAGTCTAAGCATCAGGGCTGACACTTGGTCTGAAATCAGGTTTCTGGGCTTGTTTCTTTCGGCCAAGGCCATAGCTCTGGATACCTGATAATCCAGCATCACTGCCTCTCAACTCCCACTGAAGGTAAAGGGACTGCTGAGATGGAAGAACGGAAGAGAACAGGAGGGCAGAAGGTGGGGGGACAGGGAGATGGGGAGGGGAGGGAGGGAAGAAGAGATGGGAGAGAGGGAGGAAAAGGGAGGGGGAGATGGGTGAACAATAGAGGCTTGAGGCAGGATACACAGTGGGACTCTGTGAGGCAGACACAATTTTAGGTGTTAAGATGCCCGTGCCGCTGCAGGGACAAAGGTGCAGCGGCATCTCACACACGCGGTCTTTCCTCAGACTAAGCCACCATGGGATGTCAAGGCTGGGTCCAGGAAGCTAGCTAGAAAAAACAAAGTCAGTAGAAAGTTTTACCAGTCTCTCTAGGTTATATGGGTGTCTGGGCTGTGTGTATGTCTGTACATCGTGCGTGCCTGGTGATCACAGGGACCAGATCCCTGTGACCAGATCACAGAGGGGTCAGATCCACTGGAACTGGAGATACAGATGGCTGTGAGAAGCCCTGTGGGTGCCAGGAATCAACCCTGGGTCCTCTGCAATAGCAACAAGTGATCTTAACCACCGAGTCATCTCCCCATACCCCAAGAAACACTTATTAAAAAAAAAAAAAAAAAAAAAAAAAAAAAAAAAAAGACAGCCGGGCGGTGGTGGTGCACGCCTTTAATCCCAGCACTCCGGAGGCAGAGGCAGGCGGATCTCTAGGCCAGCCTGGTCTACAAGAGCTAGTTCCAGGCCAGGCACCAAAGCTACAGAGAAACCCTGTCTTGGGGAAAAAAAAAAAAAAAAAAAAAGACAACTTTAATCTCTTCTTGGCCTTCCGAATAAGGTTAGGTGAAAAATACAATTTTATTGGCAGAGAAATCTTCAAAACCCACCACCATTAATACAGAAGATGATGGGGGGGGGGGACAAGAAAAGAAATGCTTCCTACCTTCTGGGCTTTCACCAGCATCTGAAAAAAGACAGAAAAGCCTCTTGCAGAGAGAAGAATCTGCTCCTTCCAACAGCTGATTTGGTCGCAAGAGTCGTGCTCAAGGTACCAGCGATGTGGCTGACTGACTTTCTTCACAATCACCTGCAGCGAACAGGAGAGCAGGCGTGTAAGGATGCGGCTGGAAAACTCGGGATGCACACATGACAGAAGCCTTGCCGAGGCCAGATGACTGAACAGGAGAGGGGGGAGGGAGTCACTAAGAAGGCACACCCATGTGAGGACTCACCCCCTCATCCTTCAGCACTGTCCAGATGTTGGGGAGGGCCTGCCTTAGCACCAATTGGACCTCAAAGGCTTGGAACCCTGCAGCGAGGAAGCACAAGGCACACACAGATCCTGGAACACCATCGGACCTTCTCACCCCACAGGAGAAAAGAATAGAAGCCAAGGCCCTGGGACTGGTGGAATGCTCCAGAAGCCAGATTTCAGGACACCTGAGCCTGGGACTGGTGGATTGCACCTGAGGCCTGCTTCTAGAACATCTGAGCCTGTAACTGGTGGACTGCACCTGAGGCCTGCTTCCAGAACATCTGAGCCTGTGACTGGTGGATTGCACCCGAGGCCCGCTTCCAGGGAGTCTGAGCCACGTGCATGTGTGCCTGCTGTGATGGTCTAGGACAAAGTCCTCAAAGGAGTGGGTCTCAGGAATGCTCTTCAGTTGGGGACACTCTTGTGGCTGGCTGCATATGGTCTTTGTGTGCTATGCCAGTTCACTCCTGGTAATTCCTTAGGTACTGGCTTTTACTAAGGAACTTTGTCACTGGGTGACACAGGACCCACTGGCTGCCCTGTGCCTTGTTGTTGGGACATCACAAGCCCATTCCTAGGAAGATGCTGGTTTGCAATTCTGTCTTCCAGATGCTCACACAGTTTGCTACACCAATACCAAGAGAAGGTATGAGTCACACAGCCACTGACCTCACCAGAAAGGTCTCCGTCGAGAGGCCGTCAGGCTTATGACTATGGATCAAACTTTTTATTTTGTGTTTGTTTTGGGACAGCTTTGTGTAGCCCCGGCTGGCTTCAAACTCACTATGCAGATGAGGATAATCTTGAACTTGTGCCATGGCACAGGCGGGTCTTACCCTCATCGCTACAGCACCAGGACAAACGGCACAAAAACATGAACGTGTCACGGCTGAGCGACACTTCTAAGATAGATTTGACCTCACAGACTCCATGGCCAGGGTCCACAGACCATGCTCTGAGCACTGCTGCACTAGGTCAGGGATTACAAGTTAGTAAAGCAGGACCTCCAGCAGGGTGGAAGTGATTGGCTCATGAATGATTCTCTACCCCTGACACTCAATCAGGTTCAAAAGCCTCTGAGACCTGGGAATTCAGGTCACGACTTTAACCCCAAGATATTAGCAAATGTCTCAGACTCCGTCATGAGGCATCTGCGATCAGAGCTTATGGGAAAGAGAACGTGCTCCCCACCGTCTGATGCATTGCCAAGACACCCCTGTGCTCCCAGGTGGGGAGCAATAGCCTCCTGCCTACCAGCAATGCCGGGCAGAGTCATCTGGTCACCTTCCTCAGCCAGGTACAGCCACTGAGTCACCTTGTCAATCACCACCTTAATCTGGTCTTTATCCAGAGAGCTGAAAATGGACAGAGGAAAGCAGAAAGGTTGGCGGAGATCACACCAGACTCCTAGTACTAAGACTAAGGTGTCTGGAACCTCTGTTTTTAACGCTGTGACCTCACAGTGAGAATTAGCAGCAACAATGACAATGGTCATCATTTGTTCTCCGTGTCCTCTCATGCCAGAAGAAGGCAAGCTCTTATCTGGGCTCCTCAGAGGTCTACAGGAATACAAGACAGCCTTGATGGGGTGGAAGAAGTGCAAGGGGCCCTACAATGAACATTACTGTCAGGATGTCTGCCCATCTGTGCTCCCAGAGAAATCTGTAATGACCTGGTTGGAAACACAGGAAAAGATAAGGACATGGACGAACCCTCTGCTCCTATGTCAGAAATCTAAGCGCTATCTCCAACACTTGAAAGTAGCAAAAGGTTAAAAATTCAAATGGGGAACTGGAGAGATGGCTCAGCGGTTAAGAGCACTGGCTGCTCTTCTAGAGGATCCAGGCTCAATTCCCAACAACCACATGATGGCTCACAATCATCTTTAACTCTAGTTCTAGGGCATCAGAGCCTATTCTGGCCTCCCCTGGTTCCAGGCACACACTGGTACAAACATACACACAGGCAAAACTTCCACACAAATAAAATGAAATTTTTTTAAAAATTCAAATTATTTTCCCTATTTTTATTCTTGAACTTTGAGGATCATTTCATTAGTTTGAAAGGGAAAACAACAGGGAAGGCAGGCCGTAACTCTAGGCAGCTGTGAGAGCAGCAAGACAAAGGGGGGGGGCAGGGCGCCAGCTGGGCCTTTAGAGCTAGGGTTCAAGAAAATCAAGCAGATTTGGTGGTCAGCAAGTAGCTCAGGGGAGGGGCAAGGCTTTGGAGAAACAGCCGGAAAGTCCAGAAGGTCAGGGCAAGCATGCTGAGAATCCTGGCAGGTATCCAAAGGAAAAAGGGAAAGTCATCCCCTTACTTTGAGTCTGAACTCAGAAAAGCGGGCAGGCTTAGCAGTGAAGTTCTATAAGTGACTTCCTGTCATTCCTTACAAAAACCTATGTTCTTATATGTAAGCTTTAAAAATTAAAATTAAAACATTTTTTAAAAAGTTAAGGAAAAAAATATCAAAATATAAAAACCCTATGAAAACCAAATTTCGGAATCAAAGCTATTTGATTTTTCTTTCTGATGAGGGAGAAAAAAAAATCTCAATCCCCAAAAGCTTACATAGTCCAAAACTGGCCACTAAGGGGTAGCCGTAGCTGACTGGGACCCAAGCTACCACCTCACTGTGGTCACTATGAACCTTAGTGCGAACACACGGGAGGCTGCCATTCTGTCAAAGGAGAAAGAAGCAACCTTGCCCAGGTGACAGAGACAAGACCCATGTTGAGCAGGGTCAGGCAATTTAGGGCCCACACAGACATTCTAGAGTCTTTGCACTCTCTGCGTCTCCAATCTTGTGAATCCTCCGCTCACACCACAGACCCAACTCCTGTCTCTTTGAGCACCAGACTTGAGTGAACTTTTTTTCTCCTTTCTGATTTCCTTTTTTGGGATGAGGATCATGCTGTGTAGCTCAGGCTGGCCTGAACACATAATCATCTTCCCTCATTCTCCGGAGGGCTAGAAGGCTAGGATTGCCAGTGTGTGCCACCATCTTTGGATCCTGTCTGTGAGGCGTATGAGCTGGCTGTGGGAGAGGGAGCAACCTGGTCTTTCTCAAGTGTTCTCTAGCACTTCGTGAGACAGAGTTTCTGTCTCTCACCGGCTTGAATCTCACCGGCTAGGCTGCACAGCCAGTAAACCCAAGGAATTCACCTCCCTCTGCCTCCCCAGTGCTGAATAATAAAATATACAAGCATATTTTTTTTAAATTTTGGGTTTTAGGGCTGGAGAGATGGCTCAGAGGTTAAGAGCACTGGTTGTTCTTCCAGAGGTCTTGAGTTCAATTCCCAGCAACCACATGGTGGCTCACAACCATCTATGAGATCGGGTGCCCTCTTCTGGCAGACAGGTATACATGCAGACAGAACATTGTATACATAATAAATAAATTTTTTTTAAAAATTGGGTTTTAAGGCTCAACTGGGACCATTCATGGCAAGCGTTTTACCAACTGAGCTTCATCTCCCAAGCCATAGTTTTTTCATTTCAAGATTAAAATAGCATTCACATGGGAGCGGAAAGGAGGCGATAGGAGAAGGGTTTTAGCCTCTCAGGAAAGTAGAGGTGGCCAAAGTCATTTCAGCTGAGTGTGGATGGATGGGCTAGTGTCCCCACCTGCAGAGGCCAGAAACCAAAGGCACTTGGGAATGTGGACCCTACCTCCGGACTCTCCAGTTCCCTCTCAGGATACTATGCTTAATTTTCTTCTCCTGCTCTTCATTCATGTACGGGATGCCATTTTTGAGGAACTGAAGAAGGGAACAGAACGAGGTGACTAGTGAGAGCCGTCCGAGGGCCAGGCAGCAAAGCAACGGGGACACCTTGGCTTCGTGTAGACAACGGAGAAGGGACATGGAACAGTCAGAGGACTCCTCCCCAGTCACAGCCACCTCCTCCTCCAGGTTCATACCTTGTTATAGTCGAAGCCATACTGATTCAAAAACTGAACACTGGACGCCTGGAAAGAGAACTCTGAGTCCAAGATCCCAAACGTTGTAGGAAAGAGAAAGAAGTTACAGGAGTGGGCTATATACCTAAAGAGCAGAAACAATGGTGAGAAGTCTCAAACTAGTACAGACGGACAGACAGACAGACAGACAAAACAGCCGGGCTCATGCAGATTTTCATTCTTAAGGATCTGAATGTTTTCTGAAGGCTGGATGTATTTTAGGTGCTCTGTCTAGGGGCCAGAGAAAACAGGCAATGACACTGTCCTTAGGGAGCAAAGTCAAAAGTCAGAAATAGGCCCATAGCCCACTCAAAGGCCCCCATATTCAGCCGGGGCAGCCAGGCAGTAACCCCCCAACACACATGGGTCAGCCTCCTGCAGCAGCTTTCAGGCAAGGGTATCCCAAAAGGTGCAGCATGCTTTGGACTGCTGGTGCCTGAGAGCTTCTAGGCAGCTCGGCATCTCTCTGGAGGCTAACACACTTTGCTATCTCCCCGAAGACAGTACAAGGGCCAGCTGATGGAAATTAGACACAGGACAGGAGAGGGAGGCCCCACAGACAAGGTGCTCCTGCCAATCTTCAGAGCCAGAAGTCAGAGTGTTCAGGACAAAGAGATTCAGATGCCCAAGTTCAAGCTGTCAAACACAGACTGGACAGTGGTGTGTGTTACCGCCGGTATACATACTTGTTTGACTCTCCTTCGATGCTGGAAAACACAGACAACCCTAGAACAACAGAAGTCATGAGTACCGAAGCAGAGTCACCTGACGGCAACCAAAGACCAAACGTTCCCGCCCATGCTTTGCCCCCACAGACGTGGAGGGGGCGGCAGAATGGGGGTACATCCTCACTGAAAAACAGACTTGCAACACGAGATCTGCCACACCACAGCTTGTGTTGAAATCACCATAATATGGCGATGGCCAGTTTTCCACACACAGACGTATTAGATCAGCATGTTCACAGTTTTAAATGAGCCAAGAGTCAGGCCTCATGGTACACACCTGTAACCCCAGTGCTCGGGAAGGGGAGGAGGATGATCACAAATTGAAGAGTTTGGCTACATTCCTTCTCCAGAGGCTAGGGCAGGAAGATTTTTGTTAAGTTTGAGGCGATCTGGAGTTTCAGTGTGAGATTCTGTCTCAGAGGAGATGGCTCGTCGGGCAAAGGCTCTTACACGTAAGCCTGAAGACCCAAGGTTAATCCCTGGAACTGAGGTAAAGGTGGAAGGACAGACAACCTCCACCAAATTGTCATCTCATCTCCACACGTGTCCCACACTCAAAAATAAAAACCTAAAAAATTTAAAACTCCAAACCAACAACAAAAAAGACAGATTTGACTACTTTGAAAATCCCTGTATTACTAATAAGGCACTCAAAGTGGGAAATCTCCAGAATGATGGAGAACAAAAAAAAAAACTTAAGAGCAATTTCTTGTTCTTTTCAAATATGTAATAAATTTCTCAAAAAGTTGCAAAGCCCAAGAATAGAGTGGAAAGCAGGCATGCACACACAGAAATGTTTATCTCCAGAAAAATCAGGGGGTCTGTAAAACCCTCTTTTTTATAATGTTTTTGTATTTGTATAAAATGTTTTTATACTTCATTTTACTGAGAGTCAGGACCCCTATTACAAAGGCAGGCCTTGTAAAAGAAATCACATGACCTGCAAAACCTTAGGTATGATCTAGTCCTTCACATAAAGCTTGTGACCCCAGTATTAGAAAATGCAAATCAGAATAAAATTAAGAGTATTTTTTAGACTATCAGGTTGGGTTAAATTTCAGACCCATACTCCCCAGGGTTTTTGTATGGGAATGTACACTTGCTGTTGCTGGGGTCGGTCCCTGGAAACGCTGTGGTTGATTGGCAGTATTTATCAACACTTTAATGCACACACTCTGATTCTGCAGTCTCACTGACAGAGCTATCCCAGATGTACAAAAGTGTAACAGTGTGTAAATATGAAGACCACCAATAATAAAAATCCATTTAATTGTACACAAATGGTTACTAAAGGGCTGGAGAGATGGCTCAGAGGTTAAGAGCATTGCCTGCTCTTCCAAAGGTCCTGAGTTCAATTCCCAGCAACCACATGGTGGCTCACAACCATCTGTAATGAGGGCTGGTGCCCTCTTCTGGCCTGCAGACATACACACAGACTGAATATTGTATACAAAATAGATAGATGATAGATAGATAGATAGATAGATAGATAGATAGATAGATAGATAGATAGATAGATAAAAAACAAATGGTTACTAAATATACCTTATTTAGGACACTAAGTCCTAACTTGTAGTTTGTAATACGACAAAACTGTGAAAATGACCAGGTCCGTATGATAACACAGACTTCCAAACTCCAGTAAAATAGAAAAATAAAACAAAAATCCCAAATGTAAATATGTGTACAATCCTGTTCCTGTAGGTTTTCTTTTTAAAGTCTCACACACTGGGGCTAGGGAGACATCTCAGTGGTGACAGGGGATCTGTTCCCAGCACCCACACGGTGACTCACAGCCATCAGTAACTCCAGTTATAGGGATCTGACATCCTCCTCTGACCTGTGTGGGCACTGCATGCAAGCGGTGCATCTGTACACGCAGGCAAAACACTAAAGACATAAAAAACCTAAAAAAGTTTAAATCGCATATACTCTGACACATATTTTTGCTCAAATGATGGAACAGGTTTAACAGTGATTGTCCCTGACACTGGTCTGTTTAGGACCACGAAATAATGCTGGTAAATTCCTGCTTGTACAAAACCCACCACCTTCACACTGTAGGTGCTCCAAGTGGTATACACACACATCAAAACAAACAAACAAAAACAAACCTGAAAACAGAACAAGCACACAAAATGTACGTAATGCCTTTGAAAATGGTCAAAGAGCAATGAGAAAGCCAGCCAGGAAAAAAAAACACACACACACACAAAAAAAAACCTTCTCGAACGATTCATAACAAAGAGCTGAACATCAGACTCACCAATCTGGCAGATTGTAAATTGTTGAACGCTCTGCCGGGTCTTCACATACCACTCAGATGGCAAATCAAAAAGACTGTGAAGAAAGAGGCATCTCATTGCACAGGCAAGGGCATCAGAGGCAGGCTCAGCTACCCTCAATCAGGGACCGATTGTCCATGGTACAATTAGAGAGCATCTGCCGGCATTTGGCCAGCAAATGCCGCACCTCTCAACAGGTGGAAGCAACCCATCACACCAAAATACCCAACACACACCAAAAAGAAAAAAGAAAAAAAAGCCAACAGGAACCTGCTAGGAAACAGTGCTGGTCTGAAGGGTCTAATTAAGGAGGCACAGGTGAGGCTCACTCTGTGGGCTGTTAGACAGCCGTACCTGATCTGCTGGGGCTGGGACAAGTTTGAACGCAGACCTGTGAACTCTATGTCGAGACCTAGGGTAGAGCAAAACAAACGGGTCCTCAGGCCCAGAGCAAGCCACCAGCTTTCACATCTGTAAATGCTCCACGCGGTACATGAGTGTGTGTGTGAGCGTGCTCACACACACAGCAAGCACCACCTTTCACACTGGAGCCTAGGGTATGGTTCTAAACAGGGCTGACTGGACAACAGTCACAGGAGCCGCGGGTTTGACTGCTTCAGGCCCCCTGTCGGAGTGGGAAAGCCTCCTCTCCTTCCTTCCTAGGGATGCTCTCTGAGCTCCTCTGGCCTGGAGACCCATCCAGTACTGAACCACACCCACCAGTCCCCAGGCTCTCCGTGGCAGGCGACTCTGATGACAGGGCCAGCCAGCCCAGGTACCTTACCCACGAAGTCCGCACCCGCGACAAGCTCCTGCAGGAGTGGAAGGCTCTGTTCAAACTCATCAGCACCCACGTCCATAGCCGCTAGTTCCAGGGCGCGCCGGATGCGGCCGCGTGCTGCCCACGCGTTTCCGCTGCGCAGGGCCTTAAAGCTCGTGCACGTGGCCCGCTTCGGTCGGAACCTGGTTGGTACGAATTTGCATGGGATACCCACCGCCTTGGTTTTAACTTGCTGGGAAGGTGGAAGCTGTTGCAATCAAGAACTGCCAGCTGTACTGAAGGCATCCTTGGTATCGGCGATCAGCTAGTGTGGCCTTCATCCTGTAGAAATGCCTGCTTATGGTACCCCAGTGACCATTCTCCACGCTCACTAGTCAACGGTCTGGTATGCCTCTCAGTTCTAGACTTACAGTCTCCTACAGACTTGAGCTTCCAAGTGAGGTGCTTCAATCGATATTTAACCAGAGGAAAGAAAATATATATATATATATATTTGTGCTTGGTATTATCATTACTTTGCCTCCACTTGGGTATTTATTAAGCAAAGAGGATTCCTATGCCATTAGATGCTGAATGCCTCAGAATCAAGACTTTTAAAAAAAAAAAAAAAGGGTACGCCGGCTGATGGTGGCGCACGCCTTTAATCCCAGCACTTGGGAGGCAGAGGCAGGCGGATCTCTGTGAGTTCGAGGCCAGCCTGGTCTACAAGAGCTAGTTCCAGGACAGGCGCCAAAGATACAGAGAAACCCTGTCTGGAAAAACCAAGCAAACAAAAAAGGTACAGTAGCTTGCCATTTTTCTAAAATAATGAATTCTCAAAAGTAATATATTTCAGTCCCAAGTAAAGCTATTTGAGGTACCAATATTTGAAAACTGCACTAAAATCCACCATGTTTACAAGTGTTTCTCACATTGTATCAACTTTCTGAGAGCTGCCATGATCTCCCCAAGCTCCACCCTAACTTGTATGACGTTAATACATAACTTTTTGTGTCTTTCTCAGGCAGGCATGTGTGCAGTACCTGTAGAGGCCAGAAGTGGGCGCTGGATTTCTAAGAATTGTAGTACTAGCTGTGAGTTACTATTCTGGTCTTGGGAGTCTGTTCCTAGAGAACCTAGTTCCTCTCTAAGAGCAACTGCTTCCACCATACTGAGCCATCTCTCCAGTCCCTTTATAAAGCCTTTTCTAGCTGGGCAGGGGTGGTGCACACCTTTAATCTCTGTGAGTTCGAGGCCAGCCTGGTCTACAGAGCGAGTTCCAGGACAGGCTCCAAAGCTACAAAGAAACCCTATCTCAAAAAACTAAAAATAAACAAATAAATAAAATAAAGCCTTTTCTAAAGCCAGATTTGAATTCTCAATGAAGTCATCACCATCACTTGTCTGCTCCTCACACTCACTTCTAAGATTTTCCTGAAATCACTAGGGAGCGAGTCCAGGGAAGTCTAGAAGACTTTTGCAGAATATCACCATAGCATTTCTGAGTTTACAATTACAGACATTCAAAACAAAACAAAACACCAGCCACCATCCTGGGCAGCAAGCAATCCTCTCCCTGATGACTGGCCAGGAGCCATCCATGACAGTCAGTGCCTTACAGTTTCTTCACATTTCCTCCGCAGCCACAAGACACTAAGTGAGTAAGACAGCAAGGGTTGGTAGTTTGTTATAAACATTTTAATTTGTTCTGCAGATGGTTATAACTGGCGACTGCTTTTCTTAAGTATCTCATGTCCACAAAAAGGGACAAGTTTGCCCTTCATTGAAACAACAAAACCACACAAGCACACAAAGAAGTGGGAAGAGGTTCACTTTAAATATTTCCCCACTGTTACATTATCACTATGAAGCTTTCAGTATGGTTCTCCTTCCAAAAGCCTGCCTTTCTTTCTTTGTTTAGGAGCAGATTCTTCCTTCTGGTGGCTGGAGGAGCTGATGGTTTTGTGTTTACACTTTAAAGCAGTTGATGTTTCTGTTTCATTCATAGATCCTCCGAGGCTCCCGAAGCACCACACCACCCTCTGTCATGGCGTTCTGTAGACGTTTTATCTGGTTTGAAGAGCAAAGGAAAACAGTTACCCTTCAGAAAACCTAATAATGTTTGCTTTCCAACAGACAAACAATTTCATCTTGTTGACCGCCCAGCCTGCATTGGTTTTTCTGAGTGATCTTAAGAACATAAGAAAAAGGAAATGGAGAGATATCAGCGATCAGCATCTTCAACTACATGGACAAGTGGCCAGTCTGACAACAGGAAGTGCTATTATCCTAGACTTCAGGGGCTCCGGCATCAATACTGACTGACCTCAGTTTGGGCAGAGAATGGGAGCACTAGCTCCTGTGGACTTGCAAAAATCAAGTCCCAGGACGTGCTGTCTGTCACAGTAACCAGCCACAGGCCTAACACATGGTATACCCTCAGAAAATAATGTTAGCATATCTGACACCAAGAACTAACAAAATGCCCTCTATCGATTCTGTATGCTGCTAGAGGCTGCACATGCTAGGCAGTACTCACAGAGCTGCATGCCCAGTTCTATATCGTGTGTGTGTGTGTGTGTTCACGCACACATGCGTGCACACACTATGGATTAAATACAAGGTGTCCAGCATGGTAGGCAAGAGCAACCACTGACTTAAAGCCAGAGTCCCCACTTTTCCTTTTAAAATTTTGAGACAGGGTCTTAGTAAGTTATTCAAGCCTTGAACTTGAGAATCTTCTGCCTCAACCCCTCGACAGCTGGAATTATTGACCTGTGTCACCAATAACCAACTTACCACCTTTTTTTGAGACAGGGTCTCACTATATCCCTGACTAGATAGGATTTGCTTTGTAGACCTGCCCTGAACTCAAGAGCTCCATTTGCCTCTGCTTCTACCACACCAGAACAAATTTATATTTTATTTTAGTATGATTTTTGGTTTTTCTAGACAGGTTTCTCTGTGTAGTTGTGGCTATGCTAGAATTTACTCTGTAGACCAGGTTGGCTTCAAACTCAGAGATCCACCTGCCTTTGCTGGGATTAAAGGTGAGCACCACCACCAAACCGCCCCCCCCCCAAACTTTTATCTTTGTGTAAATATACAGAAATGAAAATACCGAGTCTGAGGATGCCTCCCAAGGAGTTGGTTGGTAGACCATGAAGTTGATTCCGGCTTCTAAGCATCGCTGTGCCAACACTCGTCCTATACTCTCACAAGCCACCACATTTCTGGTACTATACAGGTGTTTTTTAATTGCCCATTCCCGAGTGGATGCCGAAACCACCACCTGGCCGTTCTGATGCTCAACCACTGCCTCTATGTGATGCTGAGTCCTTATAACTCGCAACCTAAGAGGGATGAAAAGAGAATAAACCATAAAACGATCTATTTAACAAAAAGTTAAATTATTTCAGGGGAATAAATGCCTAAGTTTCTCAAGAAATTAGTGACTAGGCTATTAAAATAGCTCAGTGGCTAAAGGCACTTCCTGCCAAGGCTCACCACCCAAATTCAGTCCCCAGGTCTTACAAGCAGCAATGTGACACAGGTGTCTATGGCACAGGCAAAGACCTGTGCACATGCACACACCAACAGCAAGCTGAAAAGAGAAAAACCCCATGCTGACAAGTACCGAGGAAGCGAGCACATGCAGCCTACACCCTGCCACACGGTGGTAATCATCTAACGCTGTGGCTCGACGGCCACACACAAATATGTCTGCATCTTAGCTCGTCCTGTCTACCTCCCTTTCAACTCCTCAGTCCCTGTCAAGTGAAGAAAAGTACCACACCTGCTTCACAATGGATGTACATAATTAAATGAAGAAAAATCTCAAATTCAAAGCAACTAGCATAGTTCCTGGAAAATACAATATTTTCAGCAAACAGCCATTTGGGGGCTGGGGAGTACAGTTCAGAGGCAGAGCACATGTTGTGTGCTGAAGGTCTGGTCTAACCCTCACAGTTGTCCCAAAATAAAAGTTAACATTTACTTTTATGTGCATGAGTGTTTTGTCTACATGCATGTCTGTTGTTACAGACAGTTGTGGGTGCTGGGAAGTGAACCTGGGTCCTCTGCAAGCTCAGTAAGTGCTTTTAAACAATGAGCTATTGCTCCAATCTCCACAAACAAAATTTTAAGAAAATGAATCTTTTTAAAGCAAGTACCTCATTTCTATTAAGTCTTACAGCGGACCTTCCTTTTATTCTGGCCCAAACTTTATATTATCTATATAGAACTATTTTATAGTTCCAGCTGGCCTGTGCCACACCAACTCCAGTGTCATCTGTGTGACATGACATATGTCATTATGCCGGACGGGAGCTATGTGTCCTATGGGACTAGGCTCCCTGGAGGTCAATGGCAGATGGCCCGGTATTAGCCACTGCTGAGACATAGACAGGTTTCTCGAGTAGCTGGCTATATGAGATATGAGCTTTGCACAAATTCTTTCAAAATAATGATAGTCTTTATATATACAAGACAAGGATTACTCTCTTCAGGAACAGCTCTTGGATAAGGAAGCACAGTATGGGAATGTATAAGACTACAGCAGAACCTTTGTCATACACAGGGTGTATGATGAGCAAGGGAATAGATGGGTTAATGTTGATGGACAAAGACTGTTATATTATACTTTCAACTTTATGGATAGGCTTGCTAGATCCCAACCCCCATGATGTCTGCTGCATAAGAAGGTACTAAAAAGTATAGTTCAACAGGTGCAGAGAACTGATTAGGTATATTTGGTCACTAGATGAAATAAAGGGTTAGGAAGAGGAAGGGCCATGATAGCGATAATGAGACAGAAACTTTCTATTCATAAGATGAAACCACTTGCCTGAGGTTTACATTCCCAAGGACAAGAGTTCCTCTTCTAAGGATGCTTTATGTCTAACACCTGTTCCTGATAATATACTTTTCTTAAATATTGCTGATGTGACTAAAAGAAGCTTTCATACTGTGCCAACCAATGATACATGACCTTCTGGTTTGTTCTTTGTTTGAATGCTATATAATGAAAACATGAATTCAGTAAAATCACAGCAGATTCCAACCACTCTCTTGTGTGTTGTGTCTGTCTGTCATCCGCCGACCTTGTGCCTTCCTGTTACCAGGACCCTGCTTCTCCCACGGTCTGAGTGGCTCCCTAGCCGGTCCGTGGCAGGCCTGGAACTCAGAGATCTGCCTGCATCTGCTTCCCAAGCGCTGGGATTAAAGGCGTGCGCCACCACTGCCCAGCTCACACTGACTACTCTATTTCCATCACACTTCACTTTACTGAACTCCAGGTACACAGCCCTGAGGGTCCCTCAGCGACACTAACCAATCCCAGCCCAGTAGCCTCCTCTACTAGACTGTCCTTTGTGGCAGATGATTATCGTCCTATTCTTTAGAGCTCAGCGTTTTTGTTGTTTCAAGACAGGGTTTCTCTGTAGCTTTGGAGCCTGTCCTAGAACTAGCTCTTGTAAACCAGGCTGGCCTCAAACTCAGAGATCTGCCTGCCTGTGCTCCCGAGTGCTAGGACTAAAGGCGTGCGCCACCACTGCCCACTACTCAAGATTTGACATGTCCCATCTTCAGAGTCGTCAGTACATAATCTCTTATTCTCGAATTATCGTTAAGTTTTCTTCAGGACAACTATTAGTTGTTTGCTCCATGGTCGCTCTCTATTCTCATGTCATCTTCCTGACTCAATCAACCTCGGGTTTCTCTGGCGGGGTAGGTCAAGGCATTGATGAAAATGACGTGTTAGGTGCTATGCACAGCCGACTTTAATTACCTGTGCCAGAACTCATGGCTGGGCCACACTGTAGCCCAGCCCCGCTCCTTCCTGGCTACCCCTAAGAGCTCCAGATTCCGAGGATTTCGGTTGGTGAACTCTGGGGCCACCGCTTCGTTTTCCTTAGTTGCCACATCGTGCTGAATCGCTGGTGTGGAACTGGTCGCGAGGGCTGCCAGCCCACACTCTAGGAAATGAAAACGACCACATGGATCTTTAAAATGACGAACACAGGCACGAAAGGGGCATGCTCTAACCATTCCCATCACGAGACCCAGAAGCGGGAAGAAATGGCCGTCTGACCACAAACCCATAACGTTCTAACGCCACCCCGGTGTGGTTGTGCGTTCACTTTCCCACGCGGAACCGCGGGTGCCAAATCGGATTTGCAAATTCCCGTGTCCTGTGCACCAGGGCACAGCCAATTCAGCGGGGCGAGATTAGTTACCCAAGTTCCTGCAAACAGACAGGCATTTCCAGAACCGAGGCTGAAGCGCCATCGCTGACGGTCGGAGGCAAAGCCTCCCGGCGCCCTGCCTCCCTTCACTCACGGTCGTCCGAGAGGAGGACTAGCCGCAGCCATTTTAACTGAGGGAAAAGCTACAGATGCCGGCAGGCCCTCGGGGCCTCCAGGACCCGGAACTAACAAGCCCCTTCGTGCTGAGTGGTCGGGAGAGCGATCGGTCTCTCCGGTCCGCCAATCGCCGCTGACGTCGGAGCGGGGGGCGGGACACGCTCCCGGGAGCCATTCCTGAGTCACGCGTGGGCCCAGGCTGTATTATGGGGGTCTGGTCCGCAGAGCTGCACAACACTTGGGGCGCACACGCTTCGGGGCTCTGGGAGAGCAGGGTGCACGGTTTTCTCAAAGAGCGGAAGCGCCTTGTCCGCTCCGGCCAGACCGGATCGAGTCTCAGCCGACTGGCCGAATGCCCCCGACATCTAAACATGGGGGGAGCTCAGACGAGAGCGCTCGACCCCCCAGCCCACCACACCCCAACTCAGCCCTACCAACTTTTCTAGAAAGTCCTAGGATGTACAAACGCGCAAGCGCAACCCTAACAAGCGCGCCACAGCCCTCCTTCCGCCCTGGCTTGGGTCCCCCACTTTCGCGCCTTTCTTTTCCAGCCTCTAATTGGACGAAAATTGTAGGTGCCCCGCCCTCCACTTCCGGCGTTTTCCGTTTTGCCCCTCTCTTTTTTCCCAGCGAGCCTCGCGGTTAGCGGAGAGTGCGCAGCGGGCGGGGCGTGTTACCCAGCAGCACGCGCGCGCGCCGCTCGGGCCTCTCCACGCTGTGGTCGCCGCCGTGGTGGCCGCCGTCCGGCCTCGGAGCGGAGATCCCGGCTGTGTGCGGTGTTAGAGAGGTCGGCCAGGCTCCCTGAAGATGGAGGGCCCTCTGTCCGTGTTCGGGGACCGCAGCACTGGGGAAGCGATCCGCTCCCAGAACGGTAAGGGCGAGGGAATCCGGGACCCGGTCCGCGGCGGCGCAGGCCGAGGCCCGATCGCGGTCGGTAGGCCGGGGCCACCCCCTGGGCACCGTGAAGTCCCCCGAGGACACCGGGCCTAGCGCAGCCCTCAACCGCGGGCCGTTTAGGCGCCCTGGCGCCCTTCCGTATAAGGGAAGAACGTTCGAGCACAGCACGCTTGGGGGGAGCGCCCGGGATGGGTGTGGGCGTCCACGCCCCGAGGAAGAGCAGCTCTGCACGGAAGGCGAGCTCAGACCTCCGCGCCTGCCACGCCCCACGCACGGCCCCTTTGTTCAGGTTCTTCCGGGTGGGAGCATCCCTGACACGACCCGTTTGGCCCACGAGGAAATATGCCTGCAGAATTTAGGTGGGCTTTGCGGGGCTACCCTCCGTCCGGGCGGGTGATTGCATGTCCAGATCTCGCAGTTGACAGCTGCACCCAGGAAAACCTAACGGAACGTAAAGCGAGTGTTAGGAAGCGGCACTGAGCTACCCGCGTCGCTGTTAGCTGTAGTACAAATTACACGTGCTTTGCTGTAGTTGAACCTGTTTTCGAAAGCATTTAGCGGCTTGGAATCGTGGTTATGTTTATTAATTTTGCTATTAAGTCGTCCCCCCCCCCCGAAACACGATCACTACCCAGACGAACTATCTACTATTCTTACTAAAACTTGCTAGAGTGAAGCAGGCTGAAGTGTCCCTTAGAGTTTTTATTGCGGGGATGGAGAGGTGGTTCAACGGTTAAAAACAGTGGCTGTTCTCCCAGAAGACTCGGGTTCAGTTCCCAGCGTAGGAGCTCACAACTGTTGGTAACTCTAGTTCCAGGAGATATGACACCTTCACACCAATGCACATAAACTAAATTCAAATCAATTATTTTTTTAAAAAAAAATTGCAATGAATAGTGGCAGGATTTTTGTACTTATTTTTTGAGGCATTGAACTTTTTGGAACTTTTGACATCAGTACTCAAAATAAAATATTTAACCTTCACTAGTTCTTAAATAGGTAATTTTGACTTTCAAAAAGAGTTAAGCATAGATTTGTAGATTTTGAGAAAACCATATGTGGTTGAGTGTCTCTTAGTTTGTGAGTTGATCTAATTTTTTTTTTTTTTATTTCACTGTTCCTCTACAGTTATGGCTGCAGCTTCTATTGCCAACATTGTTAAAAGTTCTCTTGGGCCAGTTGGTTTGGATAAAATGTTGGTGGATGATATTGGTGTAAGTATATCTTAACTGGTTTTGGTTACCTTGATAAAAATAGCTTTAATAAAACCTGGAAATTATTTTTTCTGTAAAGTCTTTGTTTTTACCTAAATATATTAAAGCTGAGTGTATGGCGTTGTGGAGCCTGGCTTCTGTGCTGACCTGCTTCCCTCATATTTCTCAGGATGTGACCATTACTAATGATGGGGCCACCATCCTGAAGTTACTGGAGGTAGAACATCCTGCAGCTAAAGTTCTTTGTGAGCTGGCTGACCTGCAGGACAAAGAAGTTGGAGATGGAACTACCTCAGTGGTGAGAGGCTCCCTGGGACTGCCTAGAGAACAGTCAGGAGAGTTGAACCCATGGCAGAATCTAGGTCAGAAATGAGTCAGGTGTTTACGGTTTCACAGACATCCGAAAACGAATCATTGTGATAGTTTGTACAGTCACAAAGTGTATACAGTTTAAGTAGGAAGAGAACTTAGGTAGTTGAATATAAGCTTGTTTTAAATACTGGGGTCTCATAAATTTGGGGCTCATTTAATCCCCTTGCAGTGATAATGTTTACATGTAGAAAAGAGTTTCTTTTGTTGTTGTTTATGTTTTTCAAGACCAGGTTTCTCTATAGCTTTGGAGACTGTCCTAGAACTCTTTTTGTAGATCAGCCACCCAAGTGCTATTTAAATTAAAGTGTGCGCCGCCACCACCCAGTTTAGAAAAGAGTTCATTAAAGCAGAGAATATTTGGGCTTCTTGGTTTGTTGTTTAATGGATACATTTTAAATGTAGGCAGGAAATCTTGGGAATTCAGAGTAGAAATTTGAGGGAGTCAATTTGCTACCTTATGGGGCCCATAGCTAGTTAGCGAGCGTGGTTAATGACATACACCTGATGAATTAATGCAGCGCAGAGATTTCACTTTGCCGTGAAAGAATGGGATCTGTTTCTAAACAATGAAAATGACCTTTGTCTGACTTGTTTATAGAGCATGTGGCTTAGCAAATACCTTAACTCCTTTCAAAAAGAAGCGGGACAGGTTCAGAAAAATGGTTCTTAGTGTTTCATATTTTAAATGATTTTAAGATTTAGTTGAAAATACTAAACTAGGGGGCTGAAGAGATGTTAACATCATGTTAACATTAGCACTGGCTGCTCTTCCAGAGGTCCTGAGTTCAACTCCCAGCAACCACATGGTAGCTCACAAACCATCTGTAGTGAGGCCTCTTCTGGCATGGCAGTGTCCATGCAGGAAGAACATTGTATACATAATAAGTTTTTTTAATACCTTTATTCTTTTTTTTTTTTTTTTTAGATTTATTTATTAAGAATACAGTGGTCTGCCTGCAGTCCATAAGAGGGCACCAGGTCTCATTTCAGGTGGTTGTGAGCCACGATGTGGTTGCTGGGAATTGAACTCAGGACCTTTGGAAGAGCAGGCAGTGCTCTTAACCACTGAGCCATCTCTCCAGCCCCATAATAAATCTTTTTTAAAAGCTAAAGTTTAAAAAAAATACTAGACTAGCACAAATGATTTCAAATGTTAGCTATTTAGCTTTTGTTGCACTCAGTCTTTAAATGTAATGGGTATATATTCTGTTGTACTGGGATTTTAGCGTTTTTCTGGTGTTTGTAGCTTGGACCATTTACACAGAGTACTTTGTGTAGTGGTCTACATTTTATGTTTTCAGCAAGCTGCTACATACTTATCTGCTGTGGCTGCTTAGTAATGCTAGGTCATAGATGGGCATAGTGCCGCATGCCTTTAATCCCAGCAGTTGGGAGACATTGGTAGGTGGGTCTTGAGTTCAAGACCAGCCTGTCTACAAAGTGAGTTCTAGGACAGCCCCGGCTACAGAGAGAAACCCTGTTTTGAAAAACAAATAAATAGAGGATGTTAGGTCATTTTAAAGCTTTTCTGTATGCACCGTGCATGTTGACTGCCATAAATACTTAATGTAGTGTTTACTCAACAGGTAATTATTGCAGCAGAACTTCTGAAAAATGCAGATGAACTAGTCAAACAGAAAATTCACCCAACATCAGTTATTAGTGGCTATCGGCTTGCCTGCAAGTAAGATTACATTCAAAGAAAATGTTACTGTGTAGTGGTTGTAGTTGTCTACGTTGTGACTGATATAAATGTTGGTCCTATTTGAAGTATCCGACCCAGGTACTTTTTTCCCATTTGACTACCACGTTTTCTCCTAATAGATTTTAGTGGCTATGCTTGTGGGATAGATGAAAAGTGCTGTGATCTGAAGGGGGAGGACTTTTCTGTGTCTTCCTTCTATATGAAATGGCTCAACAGAAGACCATTGCCTGTGACATATAACAGTGTGTTAAATGTGGTGAAACGCGAAACTTTTGAGTAGTATGCTTACATTTTCTTTCCCATGCCTGTAACAGGGAAGCAGTACGCTATATCAGTGAGAACCTAATTATTAACACCGATGAACTTGGAAGAGACTGCCTGATCAATGCTGCTAAGACATCTATGTCTTCCAAAATTATTGGAATGTATCCTTAAATGGTCTAGTGAAATTTGTCCCTATCACCCTTTCACTCTTAAAAATAAGACTGGGTTTTATAGAATGTTGATTTTATGCGGTAAAACTTAAAATGCTTGTCTAATGCAAATTGACCCAGTTAGAGGAAAAACAATTGATGCTGCCTGCTGCTGCCTCTCTAGCCTTTCCACAGTGGAAGGGTGCTTGAAATGTAGATGGTGGTGAGTAGACAGAGGTCACCTCGAGGGGAGTAATAGTACTTTCTTCATGCTGAATTATTTTTAAAAAGAAAGTCCAGTTGAATTGCTTTTTGTGTCCTTGGGTCTTTATTCCAAGTCTGTTGTCCTTAACTGTTGTCTCAGAAATGGTGATTTCTTTGCCAATATGGTGGTGGATGCTGTACTTGCTGTCAAATACACAGATACGAGAGGCCAGCCTCGCTATCCAGTCAATTCTGTTAACATTCTGAAAGCCCACGGGAGAAGTCAGGTAGAAAGCATGCTGATCAACGGCTATGCACTCAACTGTGTGGTGGGATCGCAGGGTATGTAAGATTCATTGTTACATGGGAATTGAGAATGCTACTGTTCCCAGTCACTTTGTTTGTTTTGGGTTTTGTTTGGCTGGTTTGGTTTGTCTCTGTGTTTTTCATAGTATACATCTACGTAGAGTTAAATAGTTGCCATGGGGACCAGGCATAGTGGCACTGGCGTTTAATTCCAGCATTGAGGAGTGATCAGTAGACGGGTATCTGTTTAGGGCCTTGTCTACACAGTGAAACTGCCTGTTTTTTTTTTTTTTTAAGAATTTACGGTGAGTATAGATTGAAATGAATTGTGTGCACTTGTGACTGTCAGGCTTTCCTGAGGTTTAGTGTAATAAATTGCCATCTAAATTTGGTTTATATGTAACATGAATTTTTTTTGTGTGATGTATTTAAGGATAACTGTCTTTTATGAACCCTAGCATTGTTATAGTTGACCTTTTATTCATTTACAGGCATGCCCAAGAGAATAGTTAATGCAAAAATTGCTTGTCTTGACTTCAGCCTGCAGAAAACAAAAATGAAGCTCGGTGTGCAGGTGGTTATTACAGACCCGGAGAAATTGGACCAGATTAGACAGAGGTATATGGGAAGATTTTTACCTGTGAAAGGATGTTTGTAAATCAACACTTGTGCTGTGTTATAAAGTAATGGTTAGGGAAAGCCAGGCATGTCCGAAACAGGTGGATCATTTAAGCCGATGAATTGTGGTCAGCATGGACAACAGTATTGCTTCAAGTGTTGATACTGTGTCTGGCTTCTCACCTAAGATAAGATGTGCTAAGGTGGTGGGACACAGCTGGCAGTGCTGACTGCAGTTGCTGTGACATCGCTCCAGCACGCGTGCTCCGCTCCACTTTACTCTTAGGGGATTGCTGTTGTATGACAAGTATGTCCATTATGTAGATGTGACATGACTGCAGTAATTGGCTTTTAATCTCATATGTGCTTATGATTTCCATGGCACATGTGATGCCTCCTGGTAGGTTCATCTTGTTGGAAGTGTCCACAAATTTCCAGGACAGGAACCAAAAAAGCTATGGAGAAACCCTGTCTCAAAAATCCAAAAAAAAAAAAAAAGAAGTGTCCCCAAATGAACCAGGCTGTGGTGACACCTCTAGGAGACAGAGACAAGAAGATCTCTGCATTTGGGGGCCAGCCTGGTCTACAGAGCAAATTCCAGGACAACACAGGCAGGGTAACACAGTGAAACCCTGTCTTCAAAAACCAAAAGGGCCACCAAAAAAAAAAAAAAAAAAAGAAAGGAAAGAAAGAAATGTCCACAAATAAACTCTCATTGCCTGACTTGGCCCAAAACCTATATTTTGCTTCAGGGGTACCTTGGCTGTGCCTTTTGTTACCATGACTTCATAAACTCATACTTTTCTGATCAAGCTGTCTGTCTTATAGATTACATACCTCTGGTTTCTGTCTCTGAAGTCTTTTCGTCTTCCCAGTGTTTTCACATTAACATAGGTTCATTTGAAGAAAGTAAATTTGGACAGTCATAGGCTTGCCTCGGACATTAAAGCATCTTCATCTACTCTAACATACTCTTAAACCTCTCAGGGTTCTTCATTTCCTGGTCTTACTAAAACTTTTTTTTTCCAAGACAGAATTTCTTTGTGTAACCTTGGCTATGCTGGAACTAGCTCTGTAGACCAAGCTGACCTCGAACTCAGAGAGATCTGCACGCCTCTGACTCCTGAGTGCTGGGATTAAAGACTTGTGCCACCACCGCCCAGCATGAATCATTTTCTTATCCACTATGTAGGGCTTGAGTTTCTGCCTCTCATACAGCTTCAGTGATACACTGTTTGGGGATTGCCATTAATTCTCTACTGCATCTTTAACGTGGGAGGGGCTCATTTTTTGCCACCTTTAATTAGGAATTGATTGTTGGTGAAAGAGCAAGTGTTACTTTCAAGTGCTTGAAATTAACATAAATTGGACTGATTTAACTCGATTTTAATGGGAAAGAATAAAAGAATAACAAGTCAGAGTTACAGCAGTATTGTCTAAAATTTTAAAGTTGTTAATTTGGGTTTACTGAAATATTTTCTCTGTAGAGAATCGGATATCACCAAGGAGAGAATTCAAAAGATCCTGGCGACTGGGGCCAATGTCATTCTCACCACTGGAGGGATAGATGATATGTGTCTGAAGTATTTTGTGGAGGCTGGTGCCATGGCTGTGAGAAGAGTTTTAAAAAGGGACCTCAAGCGCATTGCTAAAGCTTCTGGAGGTAGGTCTCTCCCAGCCCGAGACACACTACTTAGTGGTATGTGACTGGGTCACAGGTCTTCCAACTGAAATATTGACACTAAGTTTCAAAAACTTTTTTTCTCTGTTGTGCTCTGATAGATTTATAGAGCCATATTTTATTATTTTTAGGTAATTGGAAAAGTAGTTTGATGCTGAGTTGTTGGAAATAAGTGGACTGATTTGACCTTAAAGTGACAGTTTTGTGTTAAGGGGTAGTGTCTTGTCTCTGACCTTGAAATAATACATTGCTCTTCTCGAGGAAAATCACTCAACTACAATCATGAAAACAAATGTGTGTCTTATGATTCTCATGTAGCAACTATCCTGTCCACACTGGCCAATCTGGAAGGCGAAGAGACTTTTGAGGCTACGATGTTGGGACAAGCAGAGGAGGTAGTCCAGGAGAGAATCTGTGATGATGAGCTGATCTTAATCAAAAAGTAAGAACAACTGTTATAAGTTACAAAGCAATGCAGATTCCGTTGTAAAAAGAATTCTTTTCCATTTACTTGCTGCTCTAGTCTCAGTGATAGAAGCAGTTTAGGCGTGGGATAAAATTATATTGGACCATTGTGAATTGAGATAGTATTTTGTCTCTTGTACATGAACTAAACATTGTTTTTGGTG